TCAGTGAGGTAGCACTATAAAGTCGGCATCAGTTCCACGCTATCACAAGGAGACAAACACGAACATATCGCAGCCTCCCAAAATACACACACATACACTACACGCATGCATCTTGCACACAGGGGAGGCCGTCCTTAAATGACCTTAGCTGTTAATAGGACGTTAAACAAAATCAAACAAACATACACGCAAGCATGCATACACTACACACATGAAGTCACATCCTAATAACCTTAGTTGTTAATAGGACGTTAAACAAAATTAAACCAAACCAAACCAAACCAAACATCAATATACCCTGTTATCCGGCACACATGCACGCTTTCACAACACACATGGAGGCAAGTCCTTAAATGAACATAGCTATTGATAGGACGTTAAACAAAATAAACCAAACCAACCCTTTCTTTTTTCCCTAATTCTTGTAGATGATGTGTTCCTTTGGAACTGTCTTCATATGCTCAACTTGCTTTGCTGTTTTAATAATTCTAGAAAATATTTCAAATTGACACCTAATAAAATCACTTAGGGCTGCAACAACCGCAACAATATCTCAAACTGGTGACGAGGAAAATTTAGGAGGTCTGGCACAAACTACTCATTAAAGCTGGGATCTAGATCGCACTTTCAAGCACAAGGAGGTTCAAACGAAAACATATGCTGTTTACGAAACTGTTTGTCGGGAATCAATCCTAATGATACAATGATTTTCAGCCATGAACCGTTTATAAGATATATCGAAATTAAAAGACAAATTTAAAACAACACACCTTGACAAGTCCCTGTGCATGTTTGACTCTCTATGTCATCTCCGGTACACAGAAGGCCACCATTTTGAGGAGCCGGTGATGCACATGTGCGCGTGCGATTCGAGTTTCCAGGGCCGCAATAATTGCTGCATGCGCTAAACTGGGTCCATGATCCCCAGGCACCATCAACTAGAATAGAAATGAGGTTAAAATTAGAGAATGACGATCTTGTTTATTGAATTTACAGAAAAGGGGTACTTTTTTCTCAATATTTACCTTTAAGACCCAAATATCTTGTTTTGACTGAATTCGGCAGGATTTGTGATCTTTACTTCAAAGTTTGTAAACCCGCAACGGAATCAGGTATATTTTCGTATCAATTATGCAGTGTTAACCACCACACCAACACTGATTTCAATGATAAGAAAATTTGTTACTGACTGTAAGAGTTTATATTTAAACAGAAAGGTTACTGTTTGTTCAAATTCTAAACAGGCAAAGTAAGATGAACTTTATGTATACCAGGACACCCTTGAGTGTTGCAACTTTCGGAGTCGGAGCCAGTTCCGGAACAAGATGCCCCGTTTCCAGAAGGCGCAGGGTCGGTGCATGTGCGTGTTCTTGAAAAAGATCCGCCGCCACACGTTGTAGAGCACGTGGTCCATGACGCCCAAAGTGTCCAGGTTCCATCAGCTGTTGACATTGCGTGATTTTGGATATAGATGAAGTCATATGCATTAATATGAAGAATAACGCACATTTCTGATTCCTCAATATAATTTGTAAAAATGCGATATCCAGTATGACCAAAGTTGGGTCATTTTCACCGGCCGAAATTCAAAACCAAGCCATGCAATCGACCGTTAAATTCACTAAATAATAATTTTTCATATCAAATTATAGATGAAAATACTGTTTTGTCAAAGCAACACTATGATAAACATGCTTGCATGTCTTAGACACAATCTTCTGATACATGGACAAAGATAACAGGCATCACTGAGGATTTAAATACTAAAAATCACTGACACATGTAGACCATTACTTATTACTTTTTCTTAAAATTAATTAAAACTTGTCTAATTTATTACTTTATTCATGTGTGAGTGTTGTGACGTTTGTCTTTTTATATTTGTGTTTGTTTGATATTGCTTCAAACTTTTATTAACCGCCATCGGGTGCCAATGTATTCGTGTTCGTAATCCTGTAATCATGGTTTTAAGATAAACTTCAAATATATCCTGTTAAGATTAAACTGTTCGTTAAAAAAAAAGCAAACGCAAAACTAGGAAATTAAGTAGATGTTGTGAATGTAAAACAATATAGAATATGTACCTGAGCAGTCGGAGTTTGGAGTGCATTGCTGGTCCTCTTGATTTACGCTTGGGCATTGCTTGCCGTCGTACTTCGGAACGGGATTAGTGCACGTTCTCATTCTCTTCTGGGTCCCTCCTGAGGCCGACGTCTGGCCTACACATGTACAACTTCCCCACGCCTCCCAAGCTGTCCACCCGCCGTCGACTAAAAATAGAGAGAGTCAAGAGGAATGTTTAAATTTTAAACTTTAAAAAGAGTAGTAACAGTTCATTATCTTACATCTTTCAGACATATCCAGTTTATTGAAGTCTTACCTGCATATAATTCATGAAACAAACTGAAGTGCAATTTGTCAGCGAGTACGTCTATTCTAACCGACTATGTGTAGCGTATTGTACATTTACATGCCCAAATTGAACAGTTGTACCTACTTGGTGTTGGGTTGGCACAATCCTCCTCCGCAAAACCATCGCCGTCGTCATCTGCAAAGGAAAACATTGTTCCATTGTTTAGAATAAACTGCAATTTACTGTAACTAGCAATAGGTTTAAATACATTCAAAGTGTAGTTCATACGAACAATGAATGTATTATGATATTAAACATTGCTGATTCGTTTCGTGATAACAAAAGTCACTATACATCGATTCGTGTGTGTACATGTACCTGCAGGTTAAAATAATATCGTAATGCTACACGTGGTAATTGCAGGTTATGTGCTAGCTTAATGTAAAACGTGATGTCTCTTACATGTAGCTTGTTATCATATGTCTAAATCGCCACTTAAAAAAATGCGGTGTCCCTTAGCTACAGTGTAGTTATAAGATGTGTATGTATACGCGTGTAATAAGGACATCAATTGATGTCTATTTTCTATGTCGTTGTTATCGGTTGTTCATATTTCCACATTAACGAAGAAATCACGTGTGCGTGGTGTCATTTACCAGTAGCATTGTTAGGTACTGTAGCAGAGAACAGTAGAAATGGCTTGATCCTAAAAATAAAGGGCATGTCTCAGACAAACATGGATAGCGGATTTATCTTTCACAACACACCTACATATAGACATATATATTAACTACATTTTGAATACATTTTTTTTAGAAGATTTTTTTTTTTTTTTTTCAAAAACTGATTTCCCTCGATTTTAGACTTGCGAAAACCATGGTTACCACGTCAAAAAACGACAAAAACCGACAAAAAAAACGTGCTTTTTAACCCAAAATTTGACCCACGCAAGAAGTATTTTTTTTCTTAAAACCTGTCTGAAATTAAATATCACCTACTCGGTAACATAAATACTCACGTTTTAGCATAGGTCGTTCAACTGGATTTTCACAATATTTACACATGTGCTGAGTACAAAAATAGACTACATGAAAAGCTAGCTTTTGTTGTGTAGACACAGATTTGTAAATGGCCAAAAATGTAGTCTCTAACCATTAAAAATGTGAAGCCTGCATAGTCCACTTCATCATGTATATGACAATTTTAGTGCTAATTTTGTTCTTAAAAGTTTTGATACATGTAATATTACAGGGGTTATTCATTGTACAAAAATATCACCAATGGCCACCGTACGCTACTGTACACTGCTACCTTATTGGGTGTACGTATCTCCACCTTTCTAAAGTTATCACGTAGTGTCGCTTGCCTGTAGGGTTGGTATCGATTGTACATATTTCCACCTTTACAAAGACATCACAGGGTGCCTCTTACCTAAAGCGTTATCAGGTGTGCGTACTTTGACATTAACGATGACATCAATTCGTTTCTCTTACCTGTAACGGTGTTACAAGATGTACGTAATTCCACATTGACGATCATATCACGTGGTATATCTTACCGGTACCATTGTTATCCGTTGTACATATTTCTGCATTAACGAAGACAAAACGCGGTGTGACATTTACCTGTAGCGTTGTTATTGTGTGTACATATTTCAACATTTACAAAGACATCATTTGTTGCAACTTAACAGAAATATTGTCATTGGGTGAACATATATCTCTTGCTGACACTTATCATACCATTTCTTAACATGAATGAAGACATCGTGCACTCTTTCTTACCCGAATAATTGTTACGTGAACCAGGCGTACATATCTGCTTATCAAAGACTCCACTTAGTGATGTCACTAACCTGTAGCGTTGTTATCAGGTGTACATATTTCCTCGTCGATGAGGCCGTCACAGTCGTTGTCAAGACCATCGCCGGTGACACTTTGAGAAGGGACACAGACCTGTTGAGATAAGGTATCCGTTTCAACAACTGTACAAAACACAAAAACAACCTTAGTTCTTGAAGATCAAAAAAAAGTCAATAATTCAATTAAAAAACTGCAAATCTCGAAACAAGACCTATCAAAGTTCAACATAACACAAAATGTACGTAGTGTAATAAATGAAAATGATGAAAGAAGTCAATTTCGAGGAATACATATTTTTGTTGTAGTCAAATTCCGTAATCCTTGTTTTAATATAAAAACCAAAAGAAAATGTCAACATTTGTTCCAAGTCTCCCTCCTAATGAAAAGAATTCAATCAATGAAATATGGGTTTTATTTTCATGAATAATATCAATATTATGTTCATGACATGAACAATTTACATCTAAATGAAAAAAATTGTAATTCAATATAATTAATCCAAATGCGAATTTGTAAGCATCGTGGCATTTATCTGCGATGGAACTAAAGTAATCTCGAATATACCTACCATGTTTATTGGGGAAAGCCTCATACCAGTAGGAAAACCATACGACTCCGCATGAGCCCTTCCGAAGAGGAATCCACCAAATACGGAGATTGGAGAGTTATGTCTGATGGTGTGTGAACCTTCTGACAGGGATACATATCCCCCGACTAAATCCGTTCCTGGGACACTGTTATACACCGTATTAGACGGTAGCGTCTGTTCATCCAATCGGAGCCCGGTTTTCTCTGTCTCTTTGAGTACAAACATGAAATAGTTGCTGTAAGAACCTAATGAGTATTCCGGCGTGGTGAAAGTATAGTCAGAAGCAAACTGCTCGATTGGTGGGATTATCAACATGGAAGGGTCGGCCGACTCAGTTACCTGGCTAAGAACAAACTGCGCTACTAGGATAGGTTTGTTCGAGGTCACGTAAGCGTAGAAATTGGAGCTGTAATGTTTCTGTGAAAACGTGCCCCCTGTTGCAAGGTCGATTGTTTCACTTTTAGCAGTATTACCATCCAAGGCATTTACTGTTACCACCGTATCACTTTCAGACGCCACGAACTTGTAGTAGTCCCCAGTCGTTCTGGTTGCAATAGGAATTAGTGCAAACCGCTTTCCCCATGTATTAACCGGCGTGAGATGTTCAACCAAGTGGTCTTGTGAGTTTCCGGTGCCAATTTTAGTTTTCTTATTTCCGCTAAAGGCTGACACGATTTTGTCCGAGACTATGTAAGTACCCGTCAGATCACCATATGTGTGTATTTGAAAAGTGTCAAACCTATCGATGGTCAGATTCAGCCAATCGTTTTTCCTATATGTGACACCATTATACGTCACACTTACGTCATTGTGGTCTGCCAATCTGAATCCAACAGATGTCGAGTCGTTCACACCGACAACAAGTATCTCTGTGTATCTAGTTGGTGGATATTGAGTAATAGCGTAGTATTCGGTTCCCAAGACGTCTGTGGGAAGACCCAGAAATGCATCGCATGAATATCTCTCCTTATTAACGCCATATATTACCACTTCGTCGTCAGCAACTAGTAGAAGCCCTTTCGAATCCAGACCAGTAGCGGTCATTCGGAGATTATTGCTGAAGGTAAGCTGTTTAACTGTTCCAGCAATAACAGTAAATGACTCGTCTATGGACGGGTTTGTGTATCTTGGTGACGTCAGACGCACATTGACAGTTGTTGTTCGTGACGTGGTTACGAAAAGCTCGAGATTGTAGCTGGTACCTTGGTTCTCCATGAAACCAAAAATAAACTCGGTCCCACGATTGTCTGGTGCTCCTGCAAGAAACAATCGTTAGAATTTATCAAGAAACCAGAAAAAACATGGTTATTTTACACAGAAACCAGGACCGTGATAATGCATGGAGAAAAGTCTTAATAAAGGTCAAAGTGAGGAACCAAAAGGACGTTAAATTCACTCTCTAAACCAATAACATGCATATGATACATCTTTCATTTTTGCATGTCTAGGATGACAATAGATGTAGCTCCACGGGATACAGCTTGTAAAATTTGAAGAAACATAGCTAGAATCACATCTTGTTATAAACAAACCAACAGCTAGTACATCTAGGTCTTCGTTTTAACACGTGAAATATTCCATTTTTGCAGCATGGTTTAAAGTCAATATATCCGTAACAATATCTTTTGTTAATATTTTTTAACGCCATAAAACCGCCCTTCTTGATTACAAATACATCCATCAACTTAAATTTCATCACTTTGTAATAAAATTTTGTAGACATGTTCATCATACTTTTTATCTTACTGCCACAATATGGGTATATAATGTACCATTTACTGTTCTCAATTTAACTAATAACATGGGTAATACAATATAAAGTCACTGAATATTATGCGTTGAAAACATAGTTGCTTGAACAAGAAGATTCTAAATACAAAACAATTGATAGAGGGTGTTGCAGAATAGATAGATAGATAAATGAATGTCAATTATACAGTAGTTAGTTTAAAGCAAGTGTCATTTCTAAATGGTCTGAATCTTTTAAAAATACCTCTGACGCAAGCCACCAGCAGAGCAAAAGTTATAAACGTCCGAACGACCTCCATTTTCAGGTCTGCAAAACATGAAACATTAAAATATACGTCAATAATGTATTTGATATACCTTTTGAAAAACTGATGGAATCCTAAATTGAATATGTTTGTTTATGTACACACGAGTATTTCATCACACAGCACTGTAGTGTGTCATAGTTGCCCTTTCCTTTCTCATTACAATTTAACAATTTGTCATATCATTTTATTCCGTGAAACGAAATAACGAAAGTTTTCAACGAATGTTCAATGTGTCGCAAGATAATTTCGTTTTAATTTCAATAATTGAAAAACAAAACTGTAATAAGAATAAAAAAAAATAAAAAAAAATCTTTTTTAATTTTTTTTCTTTTTTAAATACGCATACAGTGAAAAGAAAACAAATGATTTCAATGAATGACAATTAATTAAATATGTAATATTTTTGTGTTTTGTGGATGATAAGATAATAAGGTTGAGATATCCAGGCAATCAACATATAAATGTGAACAAATGTATCTATTAAAAAACTGATGGAATCCAAAAATAAAATTGAATAATATGTTTAATAATGTGCACTCGAGCATTTCTTCATACAGCATTAAAAGTGTCATAATTGCGCTTCCCTTTAAACATTACATTTGTCATATCTTTCTTTTTCTCTTCCGTGAAACAAATAAACGAAAGTTTTCAACGAATGTTCAATGTGTCTCAAGACAATTTCGATTGAATTTTTAAAATTTGAACAATATAACTGTCATATGATATTAAAACATGTCGATAGTGACATGTAACTGAGTTACAAGCAGAGAAAGAGAAAATAATTTCATGGAATAGCAATTAATAAAAAATAAAATATTGTACATGTAATTGCTACCTGTAAATTTTTAAAATAGTTTTTTATATCAATTGCATGAACGAATCAAAAAGACTTAAAAGTATAACGAAACAATTAATATGTCTTATTTCTTGTCGCAATGAATACTTTTATACCGGTTTACAAACTTTGATTTAAACAAAATTATTTATTTTCTGATTTTGGATAAATTACCTGTATTCAGCCCTGAAAACTCTATCGCACCTGACGCTGACGATCCCTTCAACTTCAAATTACAAACTGTTATGCAAGCCAAACGTTCTTACAGGAAGCGATTATAGCATAATCCTCTTTACTAAATGTATTTCGTTTTTAAGTAAGTATAATACTTTAAACTATAATAACATATACAGCCTACATTTCATTTCATTTTGTATCACAAAGAACAAGTCATAATGTGACCTCAATCACTTTCGGAATGGCCGATTATTTTGTTATTGACCCAGTTACTTAGATACTTAGTAATCTGATCTAATTCGCTGACCTTTATATGGCTAGTACAGCCATATCAAGATTGTGAATAAGGTGTCAAAATTATAATTAGGGGGAACTGTCTGTATATATTTTTCTCGAACATTTTATTAATACTTTATTGGTTGGTTGGTGGGTGGGTTGACGGGTTTTGCGCCTGCATGAATCCGCCCTTACGGGTTTCATCTCACTGACGGAAGTCAGTGTTCTGTCGGCGTGAGGGAAGTTGCCTTCCCTCGGGGATGGTTAGGAGTCGTCTGTTCTATCCTATCCTTATCTTGTGGTGTAATTTGGAGACGACTCCTTGGTCCGAAATGGTTTGTCGCGTCGGTTGATGCGTTGAGGAGGTTCAAAATTGGCCAATATGGCTTATATTAATGTATATATATATATAAAAAAAATAAAAATATTTGTATATTTTGAAAGTGTATTTATTGCATATATTCCTGTTCTTATAGGGAGGTATATATATTATATTTGTTATGTACCTCGGGTCTCTAACTGCCGGTTGTGCCCGACAGTAGAGAAACGTATCTGCTTCCGTTAGGTACAGTACTTTGTTCCTTTGTCAGGCTTGGCCAGAGTATGAGATTATCCGAGGGGTCCCTATGGTGTATGCGGGTTTTTATCTTTAATTCTTTGGTGTATGTTTCAAAAAAATAAATATATATATATATATAAAGATTTATATAAGTATTTGAGAAACAAAAATTAAAATTAAAATTAAAAAATGTTTTTTAGGAAGAGAGTCTTGTGGGGGATCTATAATTTGCTGGGCTTATAATATATGAATCTTGTTTTCTATAAAAAGATAGGGAGGTCACCGATCGTATCATATCATGATGTCTTATATAGCGTTGGTCTAGGAGGAGGGCGTATCATATCCAGGCTGTCCTTTACTTATATCCTACTCTATTTTGTGTTTTGTTTTGTTCCTTACTCTATTTTGTGTTTTGTTTTGTTCCTATATTTTGGAAGTCCGTCGAATCGTCTTAAAAATATGTTTTCTAATCTAACCCTATCCTCTGTGCCGGCGTTAACGCGCCTACTCTTTCGACAATACACAGATGCATTTTTTACGTGCAGGTTGGACCCTCCTACACAGGACACCGTTTATATTCCCCTCCGCCGGACTGTGTTATTGGTGAATGGTTAGAGTCATGCAGGTGCTAATTAATCTTTATTTTTGGCGTCCATTCTTGAAACCGTATCCAGTCTTTGCACACCATGGAAAACTTTCCTTCAATACCAATGTTATCTTTCATTATAAAACTTTCCTTTGGCTTTCGTCTGTAACTGTTCACTGTTCTGACTTTTATAATTAGTTTGTGAGTATTAGTATAAGATAGTTGTTGGAGAGTTGGAAAAGGAAAGGTGGGTGCGACGAGTTTGTGCATTGGTGAGAGTTATCAGTAGGTAGAGGAGAGTTGGGTAGATGCAGGTATGGGGAGGGGGTTGTCGGGTTTGTGCATTGAGTTTTTATATAGAGTTATATTAGTGCGTGTATAGTTATTAGATCAGGAGTTATACTGTGAATACCGGAGCCTGATTGATTTGAGGTTGGTGATAATAATTAGTATATAAAGGAGGTTTGGTCTTACTCTTTATAATTTCATAAAATGTTTTTAATTAGATGTATTGTGCGGCACAATGGTCGAGAGTAGGGATTGCTTTGAATTTGTCAGGTTATAATGGTTATTGGATTGAAATTAAGCTATTGAGAAAGTCGGGGGTGTTTTCAGGGAGCTATCGGGTTCGAGTTATTATTGTAAACTGTTCGAGCTAGATTCTGTTCAAAAAAAATCCTATCTGTTTTACTAGGCCGTGATAAAGGACCTGTTCGCTTTTGTAAGCTCGGTTTTGATTGGTTATATGTCAAAAGTAGGGGGTGTTTTCTATGAGCTGTTTCGAGTGAATTTTTGTTATAAATTTCACTAGGCCGTGATAGATGACCTGTTCGCATGGTTTTATTGGGTACTATATATCTGATGGATGGGGGTGGGGAAGGGATGTGTTTATACGTATATGTAGGTGCGTTTGTGTGAATGTGTGTGCAGTTGTATGTACAAGTAAACAGAATAAAACTGAACAAACTAACAAAAAAAAGAAGCAGGTATACCACCAGGCCTTCCCCGGGGGAGGCGCAACTGTCAAATAGATGTCATTTGCCACTTCCATCTATCTTTCTTGTTCTATAGGCGTTAAACCTACCTAACCTGTATCAATTTAAGCGATTTTTACCGTAATACTTTATTAAATGTGAAAATATATATGCTTGTTAAGTGAACCAAAAACAGACACACCTCAAGTTGGGAACCGATAAAAAAAAAAACTGCTGTTAGCCATTGTGTGTATCGTAAGAGGCGGATTATGTTGTAAACCCCCTGCAGAATTTTGGATTTGCTTTAAAGCTGTCTACTTGGGGACACAAAAGCTACCAAAATAAATCTGCTGCACCCAATGCAATATTTTGGATATTTCTTTCCACTCCTAACTACCTTTTTCTTTCCTAGCGCCTTGCTTGGCAATACTTCACTTTTGGCTTTAATGTTGAACGTTCGCACAGGCGAGCAAGGCAATGGGTTCTGTACCGGAGCCGGGATATACCAAAGTCCTTAAAGATGGTACTTGTTATTCCCTGCTTAACGTTCAGCATTTCGGGTGATGGCAACGACTGGTTCATTCCTTGTCAGAATAATATGACCGGGCGGAATGCTGGGTGCCTTCGCATGCATTGTATTTCAGTAAGATAGCACAATTAAGTCGGTAAAAGATCCGCGCTATCACAAGGAAGCAAAAACATCAACATACCATGTATCCGACACACAAACACACATGCAGACATACACAACACATTCATATATGGAGCCACGTCCTTAAACTTAGCTGTTGAATGGCCTTTAAAGAAATACCAAGCTAAACCAAAAAAAGACACTAATGATAAAATTTTAAAAATATGTATAATAAAAACAATCGGTACAAAAATAGATGGTACATTTTGGGGGAATTTATCTTCAAAAGCAGAATTAGTACTGCAGAAAAGAGTTAGAGCGATCTACATTTTGTTTGTAGAACGGTGGATAAGCATACTTTTCCCCGTACACCTATGTAACTCACAGTAAGATTTATCATTTCTGAGCAAAAAATGATCGCTATTGCTGTAACAGTATTTTTAATAAACGTATTTCAAGCTTTCACTAGAATACACAAGCATAAACTGAACTTATAAAAAAAATGGAACTTCGCATGTTAAAAAGGCTTCACCGTGGGTTCCGTAATATTATGAACCTTTATATTTTAAACAATATATCGTTACCTGTCATATTAAGATTGCGAATCAACGTATAACAGGAAATATAGAATGACCCCAAACACCGCCATCCATCAATTAAGGATCCCCGTACCACTGCCATAAACGAACTGCGCATTGGATACTGTTTTCCGATATGACACTATAGCGTTTATAAATCCTACCTTGAGGGACTTTAATGAAGAAAATAACGATAAAATAAATTAAATATAATCGTTAACATGGATAGATCGGATTCGAACCCTGCACCTCAGATTGATATTCTGTGGCTCTAACGAAGCTATGTCATTAACAGGAGTGTCTTGACCAAGCTGTACTACAGTTATATCCAGAAGGAAATTAATGGGAGATTTTTGTGTAAACGAAAATCTGGAGTGCAGTGGGACAGGGATCTTTAAGGCGAACGTGTGATATACTTCAAAGTAACAAACAAAATGACAGATACAACATATCAAACTTGGTAAATTTTATTCAGAAATATAACGACATTTAAAAAAAGGTATTTATGGGTGTTTGCTATTTTATTGTGTCCTCCTGGTCAGTTTATATAGTCAGTTGTACAGGTGACATAAATTGTCCTTCAGCCAATAATGCCCTGTCCTTCATTGTCGGCACTGAATACAAGGAAGAAACATAAATAAAGAGAGACCTATAGAACACATCAACGTTCATAATCACGTGTTAAATTAATATGAGTGCATTGCGTCTAACTATTCGCATACACAAATAAAAAGAAAATACGGAAATGTCCACAAAACCATAATATCAACCTCAAAACGTTAAAACTATGGCAACATAGGTACAAAGAAAGATTTACATTGAGACCCTTGAAAAAGTACAAGGCGAATAAGGCTATTCTTTATCGACATTTTGGTAAAATCTAAGTAGTGTCACATTCTGACACCGGAATCCGGTAGTTACAATAAAAGTACAAGACACACTGATGATCAAAAACAATGACCTTCATATCACACAAGAAAAAAGACCTACAAAGTATTGATAACGAAACTTTCCTTCCCCAATAAAAAAAAAATATACAAGCCCAGCCCCCACCCCACACCCTGCTTATGGAGTATGTATATCGCATTTTTTTAGGTCACCTGAGACAATGTCTCAAGTGGTCTATTGCGATCGCCTTTTGTCCGTCGTCGTCCGTCGTCCGTTGTGCGTCCGTAAACACCTTACATTTTCGACTTCTTCACCAAAACCCGGAACCAATTTCAATGAAATTTTGCAGGGACCTTCCAAGGACAAAGGTCAACAAAAATTTAGGCCGATTTAGTCCCAAGCCCCCAGGGGCCTGAGGGGCGGGGCCAAAACGGGTCAAATTGACTAAAATTTCAAAATTCTTCTTCTCAAGACCCAGATATGGTAGAATAAAATACTCTTCATAGAAGGAAGGGTCTTAAGGTGCTTTACCAAAATTGTGAATTTCTCGACCCTGGGGTCTTATGTTTCCCCCTGGGGAGGGGGTAAACTTTACTATAGTTTATATAGAGAAATCACATTTTGGACCAACATTTGTTTAATTTCCATTGGAAGTAATTCAATTTGGGTTAGCATTATCAGTATTAGGTAGCAGTTTGATACTAAGCACATGTCAGCCCGGACTGACCCCCAGGGGGTGATGGGTGGGGCCAAAAAGGGTTGACTGAAATTTCAAAAATCTTCTACTCAAGACCCAGATATGGTAGAACAAATACTCTTCATAGATGGAAGGGTCTTAAGGTTTATGACCCTAGGGTCTCACGTTTGCCCCCTGAGGAAGGAGAGGGGGGGGGGCAAAAATTATTATGGTTTATAATGGCAAATGATACTTTGAATATTACATGTTAATAACTTGATTGGAATTATAACCTTGAGCCAGCCCTACCCCCAAGGGCTGTAGGATGGGGCTCAAAGGAGTCAGTGTGCTAAAATTTCTTCATTTTCCTTGTTTAGAATCAGAGGTGTTAGTTTCAAATACTTTTTAGTCTGAAATCTGTATGCTAGATATTGAATAAGGTGGTTTTATTGTTTTTTGTCACTTCGAATAATATTTCTGTTTATGTTAAAAACAAAATCAATTCTCTGTATAAATATATCAGGTGACAGTTAAGGCCCATGGGCCTCTTGTTTTTATACACTAACGACTTGTGAATGTGTCACATTTTATTCTGTTAACCAAAACCTGTCCCCAGAACCAGTGTTCTGCTTAAAACGTTATGTTGACCTTAAATTGCTTATCCAGGCTTTCTAAATGGAGAGGCACGACTTACGGAATCTTAGTTAAATCTTGCAGTTGTTAATAACTGGATATATTTCACATCTACCATGAGCCACAATAACCTTGAGCTTGTGGAACTATATGTACATGTATAAGCACAATGAAAAAGCATTCATCATACAAATTGCATATAAATCAACCGACTACAATTTCCTATACAAAAAAAATGATATGCTGTTAACGTGCCTATAAACGAATTTTTTAACAGAACTGCGCTTTGATGAGTGGGCGCACCAATAAAATATGCAAATAGAAAATGATATACAGTACATTCGATTTGTGGAATCATAATTGAGCGCAATAGTTTTACAATATCTGTTTAACTCGACAAATGCATCAAAAATACAGTTTCGATGGATTGCTGCTAGCCAAAAGACGTGCAGTTTGACACAAATGAATATGCACAGGCAATGTTAATCTGGTGAATGGCATGGATTAATGAAAAAGTAGATTTTGGTACAATAAATTAAAAGACATTAAAGAAAGTTCATGATATCATCGTAATAGGAATATCAATTTTGATATTTCAGTATCTGCAACCATGAATGTTTTTTGTCCATATTTGTTCCGGCTGCAGTAAATTATAGTTGTATGTTAACATTCATTTGTTGGTTTTATAAAACTGAGAATACTTACTCTGTCTCACAGATAGGTCCCAGTAAGTGACGACAGTCCCATGCAGATAATTTAAAGCCATTTTTTCCCCACAGTCCTAGACAATCCCTGCCAACGGCATGATCCGGTTCCCCCGGGGCCCAGTCTGAGGTTAAGGCCAGTCGCTCACCCGTCTCATTCCATATCCACTCGTTCTCTGTTAGGGCATCAGTTGCTCCCGTCCAGAAACCCTCGCCTAGAGTAAGAAAAACAGATGTAATAACCTGCAAAGGCTTTTGTTGCAAACTTATCTAGAAACAGAAATATGTTATTTCATGTGAGGTCCAGAGCATATCACAAATGGATGTTTGATATATTTTACAAGAGCCGACGCTCTTGTTGTAATATTTCCCCAACGAACATTTCGTTGGTTATATAAAGATTACACCACGCTTTAGGTCATGACGGTAAGTATTCGAAGAGAAGACAAAAATAAATGTGTTGCCGCTTACAATTCTTTTCATGTGCTGAATGTATTTTTTCTTTAGAATCTGCAATCTTATCCTTGTCCTTGATAAAACATATACATAACATATGATCGTAACATTTCACATATCCAGGAGATAAAACATCATATCTCCCAGCAGTGCTAACTCAATGCTGATAAAAGGAATGTAGCATGTGCACAGGGGCTTAATAACAGTTGTTATTTGTGTACTTTTCCAGATGTAAAGGGAATATTATTAAAAGTTTGAGGGCCTCTAACAAACACTTGGTAAAAATGTTGTTCCCTTTGTATGGTTCATATAATTAGGTAAAAAGGGTGCTAGTGTCTTGAAGTGTAAGTAATGACCCCAGCTAACTTTCTCGTTGCAAAGATTACATTCCTAGTCAATTTAAAAAAAAAAAAAAATTCATCAATCATTTTCATATGTAAGGTAAACGGGTCGATATGACATTTCTATGGTTTGTCTTTTTGTAAACCCAAACAAAAATCACCCATTTTGAAGAAAGCAAGAAGACTCTATTGAATTACCTTATATTCATTGGCCGGCCCCTCAGCTTTTCTGAACACGTGGCGGTTTAACGTCTACGTCCCAGACAAATGAGAGGCTTAATTGGGGGGAAAATATGAAATGTGTGCATCTACATAGATTTCCTACTATTGTGTTTATTGCCCAGCCTTGTCTTAGGGTGACGTCGACGGCAGTTTACCAAGGAAGGCGTGTTTTATCTCTCGTGAAGTTTCCTTTGATTATAGTTGTTTTAATAAGGGTCTTCCTAAAATATATATATTAATAGCAGTGACTGAAGCAGACGACAACAAGTCAAAATTGGCCTCATAACCTGTACTGCTGTGTTATTGTTCTATTGCAGTACAATTATCGTAAATAGTTATTCCCTTGTAACAATTATACCTCCAATCTCTGCAGCCCTTGCCTTGATAAATCCAAACTCCGACTCAGTCTCCAAGTACAGTAAGTGTGTATTGTAGCTGCGACAGAATGACTGAAACAGATTTGTATTGTAACTGTCACTATGGGTTAAATGTTGAACGTGCAAGAGATCAACAATTAGACTACCGAACAAATCTATGTAATTCTTGTTTATATTATTTTTTACAATATATATTGCATCATATGTGTGGTATTATCAATTAATCTGAATTACATGTGAGGGTAAAAACGTTAAATACAATATATATGCAACTGTATAATGTGAGCTTGTGACGTAAATGCGATGCGACTACAAATTAGAAGGACATAATGAACTGGAGCATAATTCCTAACAACATGGAACGGAACAAATATTAATTTCTTATCTTTATCTTATCTTTATCAATACCATTTACCAGTATCAATGTGGATTTGATGAATATAGATTACAGTTTTCTACATCGGGTTGGTACTCATTATAGATTTGTTTAAAAAATATGTAAAGTTAATTATGTGATAACATAAAGCCTGGCTAAACGACAGATGTTTTTTCACAGGCATTCAAGAAAATCAAGTACGATTAAATCAGTAGTTCTCGACAGATGAGAGCTACAGACATGCGAAAGTTAAAGACATGTATTATCTTACACAGGTTGCATTTAGTAATAGACAGGTGATTTCTTAGGCAAGTTTTGAAACAACTATAGAGATTTTGTAGATGTTGACAAGTGTTATGTATGACAGGTTTAACTGTAGCTAAAGACAAGTGTTAGCTACTAACAAGTAGTCTCTATGACAGGTTTGACTAGTTGTAGACAAGTGTCCTCAGATTTGACTGTTGTTATAGATAAATGGTAGTTATAGAAAGGGTGTCTTTTTGGCAGGTTTGGTTGTAGTTATAGACAGGTGATGTCTTAAGCAAGCTAGTTACAGCCAGGCAGGCTCTAAGGTAACTTTGGCTATAGATGTGAATAGGATGTAGCTTCAGGTAGGCGAAGGTTCAATATATTCTCGGCACAATTCCATTTTGTATCAGTCCCATGTATATACATATTACATTATCTAACTTGGTACTTCAAGGAATAATTTAGTGAAGGAAGCTTTTGTATAATCGTGTCACAAAATTCTTCGTAATAATATAGTTTGATACTCCTTATAAACAATTCATGTCGAGAAATTGACAAGAGGCAACGTTTTCTTGGCGTTTTCAATCAGTTATAAAGAAATCCTTAACTATACAACCATACATTTACGCGGCAACTGTCGGTGGATTTCTAGCTTACAAAAATATCGTTCCAGCTGAGGAGAGAAGGTAATTTGCTTTATTCACCTAGCTTCTTTTGAATACAAGTTCATGAACTTATTCTGAATGAAAAGCATCTTCCAAGCAACATCGCAATCATTGTTATAAATGAGTAATCTATTTTACGTTTTAAAGTGATTGATATCATAATTTCTGCAGTTTGAAATTCTCCCTGCGGTACTCTCTCGGTGCGTGCATTCTATAATTAAACAGTTTTGTTTTTATTCTTGTTTGTTTTATTTTATTTTTTATTTTTATTGTTTGATTATATTGAAATATTATGATAATTTTAATTCTTATTTGCGATGTATTATGTAAATTCAAAGCGGCAAGAATGTGTAACGCGTGAATTCAGACTCTGAAAGGCCCGGATATTGCGCTATTTTGATCGTAGCTATTTGTATCACAGGCTTTCCCAAAAGATGAAACTGAGATCGTTGGCTTTAGGTCATGTCATTATCAACCACGTACACTTTCATTAGGACATCTGTTCTGTCAGCATCAATTCGGTTTTTAGGTTGTCATTTTGCAAAATAGCCCCTTAAATAAGGATTGAAATGTACTTAAGAATGTCACGGACACATATTCGTTTGTACGTATTCGCGATTACACAATTCTTCGCCTTCTTGAAACATTATTGCATGTAATTACTCGAAAGCATTATATTATAAAGTATTATACCAAAACAAAATATGACACTGCTTATATAGGCATACACAATAAAGCTTGCTTCGGCGAATCAGAACTCATGCTTGATATCTCTGGCACCTTCTAGAAAGGCCCCGAAAAGAAAAATGACTGGAGAAACTCGAGCGCGTGAGGGTACGACATTCTTTTCCCGAAAATGTTACCAATATAAACATGTTCTCTGAACGAGGCATATTAATGATAGACATTTCAATTACGATATATGTTTTGCGTATCATCCGGTTGATAATCAATTTTAACGTGAATTCAAAGCGAAATTAAAGATGACAAACATTATTAAATACAATACCTGCTTCCCATCTTGTTTAAACATTTGTATTATGATTTTGAAATGATGTGTTCAGATCATACTGATATATTTATATATTTGTTCATACAGAAAATATGTTTATATTTTACTTACTGATGCTTCCGGCCATGTGAACTTGTTATGAAATAGTCTGTAACATGAATTCTCGTGTCGGATAAAGCCATCCGGGCAAGCGGCTGTCACTACAATTATAAAAGTTCAGTCGTAGAAAACACAATAGTCACCAGACTACTTTACACATTAGCGCCCGCACATGTACATGAACATCATACTCTGTCTTACACATACATATATTTACCATCGTATTGCATTGCCACTATATAACCTTTATAACCCTACCAAAACCAGTTGGCATACATATAGGCTATGAATGCCATAGACCGATTGTTGACGTCATTATTGTTACGTTGGATACCACTGACCCTCCCTGGGTATAGCTGTTCTATTCATTGAACATACAAACATGTACACGTACCATACAGTATTTGAAATAAATGCTAAATATTAACAAGTGTAATTGAATTTTCTATGAGATGAACAGATTCCAAAAATGGTAAATATAAGGTTTAAACCGTTTTTAGTTGACATTCATAGGCAGTATGAATTCCAACTGTACAAAGGCAAATCCAACACGAAGCGCTAGCACGCTTCATTGAATTTACCATTGTTCAGTTGGCATTCATATTGCCTATGAATGCCAACTGAAATATATAGTTAGGAAGGTTATGTAATTTGTTTACTTAGCTTTTGCTTGTATGGATGGACTATTTGAGGTACAAAACGATGACGCGTGTAGGTGTCTGTAATATTTCTTACGTTTCTTTAAAAAGCGATTTGGGTAAAATCTGTTTTCCAATGTTGTTTTAAATATCAAAGCTATAGTTTTGCCTAGTTTCCAGTGGATCGTTACAGTTTTGGCAGTGGTACAGGGATCATTATTAAGAAAAAGAAAAGAAAAACACCAGTCATCGAGAAGATAAAAAAAACAACAACAGAAAAACAGCTTCTTGGACCATATAACATTTAAATAAGACGAAACAAGGAATTTCGGAATGTTATGCGATTCCTGCATAATTTGACGGACTTGTTGTAATGTTTCAGGAAAGTAAATCTGTAACAAACTATCTCATACACAGCGATATAATATCATAGTTATATTGCAACCCATGATGGCACCTATCGTGATAAACACGTTCTTATCTAATGAGGAATAGTCCGATAATTACAACGGGATCTAGAGTAATGTAAACGTGGAAATTGTTCAAGCATTACTAATTGAAAGAAGTCAACACGTACCCTCCTGGACGGTAGCACAAAGCAAGGCTAGATAAATTATGGCATACATTCTGTTCTTAAAACTCCTTCACCGTGTCACATCCGGGTCCTAAGAATGGTACACAATGACCAATGACCAATGACAGAAGATAAGATAAGGTTGTTCATGTACATGTACGTACAATGTACTTGTTAAGCGTTTATCGTAATTTCACCATATAGACGTTCGAAAACGACATCACATACTAGTACTGTAAATAGCACTTTTAATCATATTGTTATGAAAGTGATGGTACGTTTTCAAGTCCCGAGCGTAGAGCTATTTTCCAAAGGCGAGGTCAAGAGATATGAGTTAAGGGAAGTCCTCGGTGAAAGATAAAGATAACACACATATGTGACTGCACCTATACATTTAAGTATTGAATCTTTCTTTGGTCATATTGAATTTATTTCAAAACCAACTAAATTCATAACCCCATGAAATTGACCAAAGCAAGATGCTATACTTATATTTCAATCAACGTGTTTTTTCAATAAATGGAAATTGTTCATTTTGATCGTTTGTCCCAGGTTATTGGGCTTGTGCAAGTCTATGTATTGACGTAATGTAAAAAAACAAATAGTCCGTCATTGAAGGAACATATCATACAACATGACGGTGTACGTTGATAGTTCAATACAGCCAAGTCATGTAGAAAGAAAACACAAAACCATGTGTTAAATGGCATATTTAATTTTTGTTGATGAATTCGTAAGATATAAAAACATAAAGAATAATGTCTAGACGCGGTGCACAGGCTCAGCTGCGAGTCTACGGCAACCATCTTTTTACTAGCTCGAAGTGGAGAGCCGCTAAATTTCGATGTTCTGCATCTTCTGGAATGAGAAGCTGCAGTATTTGAATGTCGAATTAGAAAGACAGTAAAACAGACGTGGCTTGATAGGACGAAACATTTTATATGACATTTTACTGTTCGACTGTATTTCAGATATGACGGGACCACATGAATCTACCACAGGGGATCTTTACAAATGTCTGCAATACACATATGCTACACTGATATGAGTCACAGCACACATAAACATATATTTATACACATATGGTATGCTGATATGGGTAGCAGCACACATACACATACATTAATATGCATGTTTATGTGTAATGTAACCCATATCAGTTATAGCATGATATGTTTATTTCAGACATTTGTAGCGAACCCCTGTGGATCTACGTTGTTTTCGATTTGTACCAGGGTTGATACTTACCCAAGGCAAAAAGGGTTTCTTGAGGGAGAGTTTCTAGGGCAATACATGATTGGTCACTACCGATAGCAACCGTGAGCTGATAATATTTTGCTGATTGATCGTTTTTGGTTGTTTGAACAATTTCTTGTGTTGCTTCAATAAAATTTGTGAAATCTCATCAAGTGTTTTTTTTGTTTAAACATGTCAATAGATATCTCCCTTCACAAAATCATACGCACAGGGAATGCTTATAGCTCCCTTTCTCCTGGGTTTTCACACATCAAGGCGCTACCCGACGAGTTACATAAATGCCCAGGACGAGGTAAAACTACGGTCCAGGTACATGTAGACAGTGGCCGTGTTTACATGTATACGGGACTGTGATGTAATTTTACATTTGTCGATTAAGGTCGTTTAAAAAATACCGAAAACACTATTTCTAAATTTAAGAAAGGAAAGTATAAACAGAAAGATAAGCTTTTCGATGTAGAAGCATACGTAAAACTCAAGTTTTTTTTTATTTTTAAACACTAAACCGTTATAATTGTTAAGGCATTCCTCAATTTACACCAACCACGATTGTTATCGCACAACGTTCGTCCATTGTGCGCACAAATGTGCGCAGGCTGTGATAGTCAAACATTTTATCGTTCGCACATCATGCACACATCGTTCACACACCGTGCACACACCGTGCGCACATCGCACATCGTGTAACGTTGAGCGATCCCGCAACTGTAGTTGTATCGAGTCCAACTTGAGTAGGAATTGAAATATTTGTAAATAAATGCAGTGTGCTTGAAATAAATCACCATGCACCAAATATCTGTTTCGTCCGTTCAGAATTCGTTGTTGATGCTAAAAGTTCATATTCGTCTTAAGTAACTGTTGAAACAGAAGGGGGCGGTAGGAGGTGCATATAAACCTTCATTATAAGTAAAAGTGAACCTTTATTATTAACGTGCCACAACTGAAAGAAAACCCAAAATTGTGGCTATCAACGTTACGGCAAAACCTCGAGGACGAAGAAATTCAGCAACAGATGGACAATTAAAGGGGCATCACGCTGAATTAACTATTTTTTGTCTTTTTTTCAAATACTACATAAACATATCAAGGGAGACTCCTTATGGAAAATAACGATCGGATTCGGCTGAAATAGGTTCATAAAGGTGAATAAATCTAAGATAATCATCGGTATTTTTACCTCAGGTCGGGAAACCTACATCATCAACGGGGATAACGCGGGAATAAAATGGATGCGAGCCGGACTGCTTCGTCGTAAGTATTGCACCAATATATCCAAATATTAAGACTGTATTGTTTGCCTGTGTTAACTGTTGAAGATCCCATGTTGCAAAGAGTCTGTCGGTGTAATTGTTTATCTGATAAAGCGTGTTGTTTCTTCAAAAAATCGTGTACAGTTGTGCATCGTACGAACAATTAACGAGGATATGTTTGGACATTTTTGTGGTTTTCATGCATATTGCCTTATAATGTGAGATTGTAACCAATTACATGTCCGAGAATAATATGAATCGAATATAAATGCTTACGGAGAGATAACATTTGAGTCATAGGCTTGGAAGTTAAGTTTTTCTCATGTTATGGATATTTATGTAAAATCGGATATCTGTAGGACTTTACAAATAAAGGATATCGTGCGGACATTTTAGATAACTTATGCAAGAAACGAGGATATATCTTTTGGTCAAACGCGTGTAATTCAGTCCATAGCTCCCAATTCCACATATACCAAAGAAACAATCAAGTAACATTTAACTCTTTGTCTTTACAGGAAGAGAGACCTGAGCATACATCACGCGACGGGTATGCGTGTCTGGTACATGTACTGTCGTCATGGTATATAAATATATATAATGTACGTGGGCGGATGGCCCATACAATCGTGGGATGCACTGGTTTCAAACATTGATGCCAAGTCGATATTGTACTCATTGACAAAAAGCGGGAGTTACAATGTCAGGGCATTCAGCACCATGATGGGGGAGACCTTCTTCTCCGAGGTAGCCAATCAGGATAAACGCGGAGGACAGGGGACACTGACAACAGATGAATTTGCATTCTTCATGGGTACCAGCATTGAACAGATGCACATGCGACCTGACAAGAAGAGGTAGTTTAAAGTTGTATTTACATTTATGCTACTTTTACTGCCGCATCGTAATAATATATATTTGGAAATGCTCCATTATATTTGAAATTACAGTTTGTTTTGCTAAATTCAGAAGGTGCATTGGTCGACTATTGCCTAATGATGGGTCCACAAAGTTAGTACTCACCTGTCAGTCAGAATATATGGTGCATACCTTGTGTTTTAATTTTCAATATTGATATTCGTTTAATGCATCAAATTGCCTGAAAATGAAACTCAGGCTTTACTTACTTTTGTAATTTTGTCAGAATTACTCGCATTTGCCTTTGGTTTACATATGTGTTGTTGCATCACCATTTTGACTGACACGATAGTAAATGGTGTTACAAAATAGTATGCTCTTTCGACTGTTCGATTATCTTTATCTGTGGGACAAAATTACTTTGTTTACTTCAGATCATTTGTGTACAGGACATCAAGATCAACTGTTCACAATCTTGTTGACAAAAGCGATGGGCAATTTGATAAAGACGATGAGGAGTGCAGGATGCTTGAAAATCAGCTAGGATCACAGTTGCTCCACGTCAAGCCAAGGTTTGTAGATCTTTGAAAGAATACTCTCGTAATAAGAAAATAATTACGTTTTCTTATCGTGGTGTCTATTCGGTGTACAATGTGATACGTGATCATATTGGCTGTCGAAATTTATGAAGATTTTATCAATTGCATCCAACAACTCCCGTGCTATGTTGTCCTCGAATAATAGGACTTGATTTGAGGAAACAATACTAGTATCCCGACAGCCAAGGCAAACATAATAGTTTTTATATTGCGTGTTATAACAATCATTCCATTCACTGCATGTACAATGTTTGTTGCAACATCTTGGTATAATAGCAACTTTATGTCATCAAAGAATCACATTGTTGTTACATTAAGGGATGGGTATTAGTAATTTGATTTTAACATGTTAACTTTTTCAGCGACCACTTCTTTGACACCGACGAGAGAAACCGAAATCCACGTAAACAGCGTATGGGCACTGTTTCAGTTGAGCGTAACGCCATACAGAAGGGCACGTCGGGCGTGAGTTGGGAACAGGCTCGTGTTAATGAATCAAAAATGTTGCCAACGCGCAAAAAGGGAATCGAGGACAATTAAAACGTTGTATAGATACTACTATTTTTTGTGTTTAATGGTTTGTAAGCATTGTTATTTATCTCATTATTTGTAGGGAACTCTGCGAAAATATTTCAGTATAGTAGTTGCACACTTATGGACAAGCCGTGTGTACATATTTGTACATATCTGATGGTTTTTAAACGTAGCAACATACTGTATAAGATACCACCACGTAAGAACATAACGATTGACCAATGCACGTGTCTATCTAAGGGTATTGTTTGGGAAAATTAATTACTTGTGTCACAGACAGCAAAAGGTCACTTTTCAGGAGTACATTGTTAAAAGTATCCATTCAGTTTTGTTATTTTTCGTTGCATTTTCTGACAACCATGGAAAGGAATTGATAGATATCGTGCTGGCAATAATTCAACAAACAATGGATCTTAATCATCATTAATTTATTAATAAGTGAAAACTGTAAAGTAATTATCACTTGAAACAAAACAAAAAGTGGAAAATAAAAGGTTTATATTATCACAAGCTTCCTGAGCAAAGTTCATTAAAAATAATAAACAACATATAAAATTAAATTAAATTACAATAAAATCACATATTGAGTATTAAAACAACATATAAACTACACAATCATCAGTACATCATGATGCAAATCGCGTTGATATTAAAATTGAATGCACGCACTGCATAATGTTCTGAACTGAAAGTAACGTTTTGGTGGCAAGTCCAAATTAGAGCTGGATATTGATGTATGCTAAACATATAAATTACTAAAATCGTTTTAATATCAAATACATTCATATAGGTATATGGACAAGGTGTCTGACATTTTATCCAACCATTAAGCATTAATACGTTTATTTAAGAAAAAATAATTTCGATAACACATAATATGCGAACTATGTATTTTCAATTTTTCATAAAGTACATTTAAAAGTTAAACCCCCACAAAACTCTCAAAGAATCTATCAATTATCATATTTGATTTCAAGAATGGTTCTGATCATTGACAATGCTCATATCTGTCAACTTCAGTTCTAATATGGTCTTAACATGAATCTGAACTCAAATAGCTACCAAATATACAAACGTGCAACATAATATTTGCTGACTGATCATGCATGGTTATTCAACACAGTATTACACAACATCATAAGATTACTCATTTAAACAAATTGAAACACAGTCATTGAAGTATTATGACAATATCACAAGTGGACGGATATTGCGTTTTGTTTGGTTGCAATTATAATTAACACAATAAGTCATACAGCTGCTGACCTTATTTTAACAACATTACAAATTATATTGGCAAGTCCTTGATAAACTACATAAGTAGGGGTCCCTGTTAAGTGCAACATGAAAGCAAAACGAAACCTAACGTTTCAAAATATACTTGAGAATCGAAACGAAGTATTCAGGAATGTGTATTCTACGAAACTATATATAATCGAATCTTCATTTTACGGAACGAAACAAAACATTAAATCAAAATCCCAGAAAAAATACTTCTTGCATGTCTAGTACGATTTGTCTTTTTGGCGTATGTATTGTCGAAAGGGGGAGACAAATCGTAAAAGACATACAAGAACACTTTTTTCTTGAATTTTGATATAGTGTTTCGTTTGTTTCGTATACTACAGATTCAATGATGTTTCGTTTCGTATAATACAGATTTTAGGATATATTTCATTTTCGCTTCGTATCATTTTACTTTCGTTTTGCAATTTACATATAAGTAACTGTCTGTGTAACACACATTTAGGAAAACTAGTTATGTTTCAAAACATGTTTCTTTAGATACTCCCTGGATTTGAAAACTTTACCACAAATGTTACAAGGGCAAAAATGTTTTATCACAGTTCTGACACCCGTGCATCCGTGGTTTGACGTTTGCACAGTCGTGCCTGTCCATATCATATCCATATTTAGCGCATTGTTTACACTTTTAAGGTCCCTGACCCCTATGACGAAGTTCATGTTTCCTCAATGAGGACGGGTTTTCCACTTTCCGTCCACATTACGTACATAGATATATGCTGAAAACATATACAAAAATCGTCATAAAACACCTCGAAAAAAAAGCTGGTCGACAAAAGATACGTTTGACCGAAATATGTATCCTCATTACATGCATCAGGTGAAGATATTGAAATAGAAAATCTTTATCATCTGTTGTCAAAAATGTCCGCACGATATCCTGTATTTTGAAAGTCCTACCGATATCCGATTTTACATAACTAGCTATAACATAAGAAAAATACAACTTCTGAGCCTATGACTCAAATGGTATATCTCAGTAAGCATTTATATTCGATTCATATTATTCTCGGACATGTAATTGGTTACATTCTCACATTATAAGGCAATATGCATGAAAACCACAAAAATGTCTTAACTTATCCTCGTTAATTGTTCGTACGATGCACAACTGTACACGACTTTTTGAAGAAACAACACGCTTTACCAGATAAACAATTACACCGACAGACTCTTTGTAACATGGGATCTTCAACAGTAAACACAGGCAAACAATACAGTCTCAATATTTGGATATATTGGTGTAATACTTACGACGAAGCAGTCCCGCTCGCATCCATTGTATTCCCGCGTTATCCCCGTTGATGACCTAGGTTCCCCACCCTGTATGTGTCTGACCAACGTTTTGTTCATGGATTTCCCTTTACTAGCGCATGCGCATTGCACACCATTTCTTTTTAAACAAAATGATTGGCCGTGTGAAGTAATTAGCCAAAGAAAAGTGTTGTATCGTGTCAGCTACGAAGCGAAAAGTTGCCAAATGGTCAAAAGATAGGGCAAGGAGTACGTTACGGAATCATTATTACAGGTGGGAAAATTCAAAGGAGAAAATAACTGCCGTAGCAGTTATTACAATTCATGTATTCTTCCGGATAGCTGGTTAAGCTGAAATGGAATCGACAGAAATGCTAGCGCTGTTTATGTTATGAATAAATATCTAAAACTTTTAACCTCGCTAGTATCTTTGTCTGAGTTTGAACACAGATGAACTTAGTTTAATATGTCAATGGGCATGTATCGGAAAGAGTTTATTTTGTGTTTCTATAATTATACAGTGGTTTATACGAAAGTAAGTGATAAGTGACTGGTTAGTTTGATTTTGTGATGAGGCCCTCCAAGGGTTAACTGTTTTGATAGCCACGGCGTATTCCGTCTCTGTCGGTACTCGTGATCGGGGTCAAATGAGATACGTGCGCTTTTAGATTTACATAATTTATAATATTACCGGGTTCAGTAAAATGGTATGATTTATTTGTATTGTTGAATTAAACGATTTTTTGTTTGTTTTTACACACAAGATTTAAATAATTACTAATATGAATACCCGGCTTCCTCTGGCGCAACGACGCAATATATATAAAAAAAATATTGCCGTCAGAAAGCTTCATTATCACAGCTAGATTAAAAATGTCAAAATGACGGGCCAGGATGAATAACTGAGGAAGGAGAACCTACTTCTAGTAAATAGGATCGCGTGACATTATTTTTTAAATCGTAATATTTCAACAGTTCATGTTTTCATATGTTGTTGACTTAGCAAATGTATGATCATGTAACAACCTTCTCTCTATAAAGAATTAATTGTCGACTTCAGATAAAATCGGAATACGTATTGAAAACAGGGGAAGGAACATTTGTTTACAACAATGACGCGTGCTGCCGATAACTACGGCTTCTGTTTCGGACAAAAATTAAATTATTAAAGAAAAGTTGGCTCAACATAAAAAAGGGTCCATTGACAAGAATGCTTTTAATCTATGAAAAGTATTGAAAAAATATAATTATCAAGTAGCTCAACATGTCCCATTTCTGACAGATATTCTACATGTACACGTAGTGGTTTTGCCTTACAGTTTAGTGTGTTAGCGTATGGAGACAGTGAAAGTGGGCAAGAGAGTATACATACATGTTTATGCATGGTATAGAAGAAAAAAAATAGCCAAAGATATAGAGTTGTACAATGTAATAACAAAATTCACAAACGTTTCTCTTTTTTATACGCGTGTAGTTTGTCTCTGTATATATGCACTTTATGAAAACATTTGAAAAGGGATATTCGTCTCGTGAATATTCCTTTTTACAGAAAGGTTTGTCTCATTGTTGAAGAAAGGTGTTTAGCCCCGTACAGATGTCACATTCCGGTACTAAATTCAATATATATTTATATATATATACTTTATGTTTATGCCTATTATCATTGTTGACATTTTATTGTAAATGTATGACGGGAGAAGGCTGTGATAAATTGTTCAATTTTATTGGCAAAAAATATGTTTAAAGCTAAAATTTAAATTCTGAATATTGGCAAGTGTGCAATAAACTTCTGATGATGAATAACTACTGTTCAATAAGTTTTAATACGGACTTAGAAATCATATGACTTGGTTTCATAGTACGGTAAGAAGTTGCAGTTGCCTGACGCCCCTCTCTGGGGGGGGCCCTTTGGAAACCGTTTCATCTCGCCCAGACCGCTCGTGTTTACTGCCGAGTCCGGTGACTATTTTTAGCAGGGCTTTCCCGAACAATTCAAGTGGTCGAACTGGACATTTGGAACGGACTATGAATATGGGGATAGCGAGGTAACATAAGTGGAAGTGCATACAATACATACATTCATTAAAAAAAGTATGGCTCTTCACGTGATGTCCCATTAAAGTGTTTTCTGAAAAGCTTCTTATTCAAACCGTTGTCGTTCTGAGTTTCCCCTTTAAATACTTTGTGATTTGTTTCTGTAACTATTCTAAGACTTGTGCTTGATCTAAAATTGACAATTTTCTAGTTCAAAACGTCAAGAAACCTATCAGAACAACCATTTCTGGTCACTTTTATTCATAACATGTCTGACAAGATCTCTATTAGCTACAGAATCGCATATGTAACGCAAACTCTGATTGGCTAAACGTAGCGCGCAACAGCCAATTGAACTTATGTTGTCATCTATTTTTTTATTTTATTTTCGTACACACTGCAAATCAACACCTGTTTACTGTTGGTTGTTGTTCATTGAAAATTTGCTATAGATTTTCATGTTTAAGATCAACAATTCTGAATAGATATATTGTTAAATCATAACTGATAACGTTGGACACTGGTTCTACACAAGTTTATTTCGTTTTTTATTAACAGAAATATTTTACAATCATATTCCATTGAAAGTTTTCCGTATACCCTTTTTAGTTCGTCTAACCAAATGATAGCGCTTCTTCAATACTGAAAAATATAAATGATTGTTAAATTATAACATTTGTGTCATTTTTAAAGGAAATTCAACATACTTGTACATGTAACAATAAAAAAAATCTAACGTAGATTTATAAAAAATATACTCAAATTTGAAAAAAATTAAGAATATTTCATTGTGGGTCAAAAAATCTCTAATAAGGCAGTAAGTATCATAATAGAAAATCAGAATAATGAAGCGTCGACTTACTAAGATACGCAACGACTAGGTCAGGAATATAGATCTATTATTTATCGCACAAACCTAAGCTAGAAGCAAAATGGCAACTTGTATAGATTCTCAAATAAAAAACAGTATGTACATAAGATTCATATGTTCATTGACACGTATGATATGAAAAGCTAATTATAAACATGCTGTATTCCGAGGATTATTAGACGAAGTTAAACTTTCGACCTTTTTGGTTCCTCTTTATAAAGGCGAATTCATCATGAGGGCAAATAGTATATGTGAAGGGAGAAATTTAGACTAGACGAATATGATTTTTTACAGTGAAGGACGTCTATTTGACAGGGCGAAAAAACAATCCCGATATACACTATATGCAAACTTCTGCAGTGACTGAAATATAATATTTTGAAATTTTAGTTGTTGAATACAACTTTAAGCTTAAAATTAGGATGCATAATGGTTATGCAAACAGAATTATCAAGTTATCAGTAAACCTAACAGACTTTAAATGCGGGTCCGGGTTGTAGAACACCGTCAGTCTGACTGCAAGATGGTAGAAGTTTGTGATCCTTGGTATATGTTTGATTAAGGACAAGGACGAGATCATGTACTTGCAGTGTCCTCCTTGCATTGTCCTATCGTTTACTGTTTAACCCCTAATTGTACAGGTGTCACTTTATATTGAGTAATATAGTGAAATAAACACCAACCATTCTGAAGAGGATAACAGTTGATTTTCTATCGGGGTTTAGCTAGGGTTAAAGAAGATGGGAATAGAACGAGATACCAACAAAAGAACATTTTAAAATGTTAGTTTACTCTTTAACATTATAAGGTTTGGTCACTTATAAGGGTCCCGCATCAGATATACAGGTGTCCTCAGTTGATCACGATTTCTGTCTGTGCGTCTATTTTTCATTTGGACAGATTATTTAAGACTCCTAAATATATAAAATCTTTTAATTTGACACGATATTACATTGTAATAGGTAGTTGTGAAAATTTCATTTTTGATAGTTTCAAGGATCAATGTCAAAATCAATGTTACAAAAATAGACTATAGAGATAACGGTCAAACACATGGCGGGCTTTTTCTGATCTGTCGTTTTTTTAGTTTACTTTATACCGGATTCGGGACAATAATGGACTTTAGAGATGAACAAAGTTCAGAAACTGTTCATAATTTAATTTTGGTATTAAACTGTGTTTATACCAGATATAATATACATACCTAATCTCACAGATTGGTTGCAAGAGAGCATTGCATCCCCATGAGCCAAAAAGGTATCCATGGGCACCCCATAATCCTAGACAATCTTTGCCTAGGGTTTGGTCTGGCTCCCCTGGGGCCCAGTCCCCAGTCAAAGTTAATGTTTCGCCCGTTTCCGCCCATATCCACTCGTTTTCTTCCAAGGCGTCTGAGCCCGCTGTCCAGAATCCCAAACCTGGAATCAAACAGTAAGCTTATATCCAGGTACATCATTAAAATCTAGGGTTCGAAGCACCCATATTAGGTGGCGCAGTTGATAGCGCACTTGCCTTTCTCCAGGGCGGCCGGGATTTGGTTCCCCGATCGGACGTGAAATGGTATGGGGTTACCTGCCCGATCTCATGGTTTTACCCCCCTGGGTGTACTTCGGTTTCCTCCAACATTAAGACCCCTGCGCTAACATCTGGTTCAGCAAGAGTGATTTATATATGCTGAAATGACTTGTTACATTATTTTCATAAATAAAGTTAATATATTTATAGTTTTTTTTTCTTCTTACCTCCAACCTCTGCGGCCTTTTTCTTTATGAAAGTTAACTCCGCATCATTTTCTAGTGTCAAAAGGTGGGTGTTGAAGGCTCTACAAAACGACTGCAAGGAGACGGCACATTTAGATCACATTAATATATTTACATTTGCATCGCATTGCCACAAAGTAACCCTTTCAAAGCTGTGTCGTTGATGGGACTGTATATGGCATGCACCACGAGACACAATTCTTAGCCAATCAGCACATGACAACAAGCTATTCCAGTAATTGAACAATTTTTATGCGAAATTTCGAGTAGACAGGAGTTAAGAAAAACGTAAATATAAGAATTAAGCTGTGTTTATGGCATTAATGATATATTTGAATGACACAGCTTTGCAAGCAAAACGACCATAATGCACTAGCGCTGTGTCAATCAAATAATCATAAATGTCAAACAAAAACAGTTCAATGCTTATATTTTCGGGCCATTGAAATAGCAACTAATCAAATCATAATAAATACAATTATATACTAACATATTTTGTTGAAAATAGGTTTTGTTTTACTTTTGACGTGGCAATGCCATGGTGTCATGTTAATCATTCTGATATATGGGATTATATGTATATAAAAAAAAAGACATGAATGTATTCAATGTATGACAATATTTATATCGTAGAAGTTTGTCTTTACTTCAATTACTGTTTTTGAAAATATACCATCCGCATTATGTTATAAATTCTAAAAAAAAATATGTTTGCAGTTGTGTTACGACAGTACATGTATAATAATTATTATTTTTATTCCCTGATACTTACTGTGGCCTCTGGCCATGTGAAAGTGTTGTTGAAGAGTTTGTAACAGGAGTACTGATCCTGAATGAATCCAGCAGGACAATCAGCTGTTTCCTCAAAGAGTAAACATTAAGTGTGTTACATGTTTATCAGCAACATTATCTGAACATTCATCAGAGCATGTTTTTCTATTCATCTGTTTATATGCTTTAGCTTTTTCTATACGAACATATCGCAGCCTCCCAAAACACACACGCATACACTACACGCATGCATGTTGCACACAGGGAGGCCGTCCTTAAACGACCATAGCTGTTGATAGGACGTTCAATACTAAACCAAACTAAATCTATCTATATAAAGATGTGTAGGTTTTCTGTATACCTGACATTTTATCTGAATTTGTACCTTTCTGTCCGAAATTCAGCCTCATTGAACAGTTTGTGAGAGACTCTCGACCCAGTCACATAATATCTCGCACGATATCGCAGGGACGTATGCTATTTCTTTGTGTGATAAGGTCTTTGTTTTTGATAATGCTCATTAGAGTGCCTTATGGGTTTGTTATTACTTCACAAGTCTCCATGTGAGGACGTGACAATAATTGTATTTGACCTAGATTTGGTGTTTGGGTCTGCCACATTCCTTCAGGTACAAGGAATGTATACATATTTAGTAATTTGTAGGTACAAATGTAGTATCTACAATAAATCTCATATGCAGAACTTTTATCAAGTTATGTTAAAAAAAGTTTTTCATATTTTACTTAAATATCAAATCTAAATGAAAGTTTAGTGATTGGGTCAGCAATATTCCTACGTGTACAAGGAATGTATACATATTGAGTAATTTGTAGGTAGTTATGATTAGGTAGATCTACAATAAATCTCATATGCAGAACTTTTCTCAAGTTATGTTAACTTTTTTTCTTCTTATATTACTTAAATATCAAATCTAAATGAAAGTTTGGTGATCGGGTCAGCAATATCGTCGATGAAGCAGAAGACTCTTGGCCTTTCTGAACACTTTTTTCTTGAGTCTTCTCTTGATCATAGTTTGGCATTGTTTGATCGATTTTGAGTTCGAATTTAGATATGTTGACGCCTCGGTTTTCTCTCGACGTTTTTTTTTTTAAATTTTAAATAAAAAAATGGTTAGTTTTATGTATTGGAAATAGTATTACTTACACATTATACGATTTCTGCAAATCAAACAGAAATCAATATACATTTACTGTTAATGTTAACTTTCTTATGTCAACGATAATATATTTAACGCTTAAAATAATTTAATTGAAAGCGCCAACATCGTCATTTCTGTCGTTAGAATAAGCACGTTAATAATCTGCCTTCTTTATAAGATCAGTTAAAATATCCTGTGACCTCTTCAACAAAATAACATTACCAATACATCCGTGCAGGTTCGAGAAAGCGCAGACCTGTTGCATCACCTCAAATATCAATGCACATTGGCCAATTAATGTGAGTCACTCCCTGCAGAAATCAAATGTTTTTTGTCTACTGTTAAGAGGTCATTGAAGAAACTAAAATTGAGCTACTGCCCCAACTTGAACACTTAAGACTTTTTCTTAACTTTTTCTTCCTTTACTTCTGTTAATTTTGGGGGGGGGGGGGTTTCTCCCTAGACATCTTTGCGGCATGATATTTCAGTGAGGTAGCACTATACATTCGGCATCAGATCTGCGCTATCACAATGTAGTAAGTACACTAACATACCGCCCCCAGCACACATTTACATATGCTAGCATACATTACACATATGGAGGCACGTCTTTAAGTAACCTTGGTTTTGTTAATATGACATTAAACAAAATAAAACCAAACTGAACTGTTCAAAAACGTAAAACTCTGAATAAATTTGAAAAACGTATCTACATAAAATAACACTGATATCAGACAAGCGATAAGATCCTTAGTGTGCTTTACAATCCTAGTACTGTACATTATAAGTGTTATAGACACGTACCGTTAACGACAGCAGCAAAAAGCAAACAGATGATGCCGTAAACCAGCATTTTGTTCTTTGTAAGGAAGGCTTGACCCACAATAGAAATTGGAATAAATATTCCACAGTGTCATCAAACGGGGACAATGCAAGAATTACAGTTTCAATACAGATAAGATAAGGAGCAGAACAGTGTATCAACCGACACGAGACACCACGGGGATTTACTGTAGGTCACGGAGATACAACAGTATGACAAACACTGTTAATTGAATCAATGGTCACATGTGGTATCGCGGTAGGCAATGACAAAAGTTGTGTGAAGTGAGACAAATAGAGTAAACTTATATTGAACAGACAATGAGCAGGTTTGGGGAAAAGGATAAAACTGCCGTATCCCACCGTACATGTATGTCTATTGTGGGGGCCCCTGCAGAATAGGGGTTGTCCTCAGCGTCTTTCGCTAAGGCGAGTTGAAGAGACCAAAATTGATCTGCTACCCTCCCCCCTCTCCCCCCNAAAACCACAATACTTCTTAACTATAAGAATGATTACACTCTCAAAATTAGATTTATGTTAGATGTATTATAATTCTATTTCTATGCACATCAATGGCGGTGTTTAATTGGAGGCGTTCATTGAAGAATTAAAATGCTTCGAAGTTTATTTTAAGAAATTACCATAAGACTTAAAAAGTTCACGGAGGTGAGAAGTTACTTGAAACAGGAACCTGGCTTTATAATGAAAACAATATTTACATTGTTATTTTTTTTGTCAATTGATTAAGCGTCACCAGTTTACCGTCGTCATGGGCAGGAGAGCAGTCACGTCTTACAGTCGTGTGTTCTTCTGTATTTTTGCCCTTTGTGTACTTAAATCAATTGTGTGAGGTTTAAAATTCTCGCAAGTGCTAAGGTCAAATGTATACGGGTTGTACTAGATTAAAGAAGATTAGTTGACTGAGTACTGACTGGCGAAGGTTTGAAAGCCAATAAGGGCGATTTAAGTTTAACATAATCACTTATTCCTATTTAATGTAGACAAAGAAATATCAACTCGGGGTTAAGATATTTGAAATTTAGCACGAGGAATTGCTGAGTACTAAACTTCAACAATAGATTTTTTCCCTCTGCATCGTACAGAATTGATGATCATTTTTCTCCCATACTTTCTAACCGTAAGATAAATGTCTAATGGTAAACCAGCGTGCCGTCATCAAGTGCGCGTGAAATGTGTAACAAAATTGATGACGCTAAATCTCCAATACACTGTTATGACAGAATATATGTATTGTTTGTAAACAAGTTTGGAAAGTTCTTAAATAGGCCTAGCCTGATGTCCAATCCGACCTTACTTACAATGGATTAAGTGATGACGAGATGACGACTTTTAAGAATAATTGTTTTCTTTACCTAGGTCGATAGACAGTTGTCCGTTTTCCCATTGTGCGCCTGTGAAGTATTGGATAAATCAATTTCTATTTCTATATAGCACTGTATTTCTTGATAAGTTAGAAGTCGTCTAAAATGTCCTTCCTATCTATTATGATAACAATACAAGATTCTTATTGATAACAAGGAAGTTATCTACAGTAGTAATCGATAGAAAAATAAAATCCAGGTGGCCCGTATTGGCTTTTAAATGTTGGGGTCTGTTGTAGAGAATCGATTTATACTACATGTATGCATCAACTAAAACCCATTTTAAACTCCATCAAATAAACATATCGCTATTGTATGTGGTTCATTTAGTTTCAGTGACGTCACTGTGGTGTCACAATACCCATTGTTTCTACCTCCAATGATACCTATTGGACCTTGTTATCATCCTCGTTCAATTTACGTTTCACCTAGCCTTGTGTATAGGCGTTAATCAACCGCTGAAATGATTTGTTATCGTTTTCTGTCAATATTGATTCAATAAAAATACACAAAGAACAAAAGTATCACCACCTATTGAGTTTAACATGCCGTTAATGCATATTTTTAACACACGATTTGTTAAGAAGTTTCCGAAATCACTCATTTCTTGTGAGATTCTGATCCTCAAACATTATCTTTGAATCCTTGCACATCCATATATGCCGATTTCGTTTTGAATTTTATTTGTTGGTTTTAGGTCACCTGAGACAAAGTCTCAAGTGACCTATCGCGATCGCCTTTCGTCCGTCGTCGTCCGTCCGTAAACAATTTACATTTCCGACTTCTTCTCCAAAACCCCTGAACCAATTTCAATGACATTTTGCACGGACCTTCCATGGACAAAGGTCAACAAAAATAGTGGCCGGTTTAGTCCCAAGCCCCCAGGGGCCTGAGGGGCGGGGCCAAAAAGGGTCAAATATTTGTTTAATTTAAACTGGAAGTAATTCAATTTGGGTTAGCATTATCAGTATTAGGTAGCAGTTTGATAATAAGCACATATCAGCCCTGACTGACCCCTAGGGGCTGATGGGTGGGGCCAAAAAGGGTCGAATTTACTGAAATTTCAAAAATCGTCTTCCAAGACCAAGATATGGTAGAATGAAATACTCTTCATAGATGGAAGGGTCTTAAGGTTTATGACCCTAGGGTCTCACGTTTACCCCCTGGGGAAGGGAGGGGGCAAAATTTATTATGGTTTATAATGGCAAATGATACTTTGAATATTACATGTTAATAACTTGATTGGAATTATAACCTTGAGTTGACAGTTTGATACTTTGAAAATTTTGAGCCAGCCCTACCCCCAAGGGCTGTAGGGTGGGGCTCAAAGGAGTCAGTGTGCTAAAATGTCTTCATTTTCCTTGTTTAGAATCAGAGGTGCTAGTTTCAAATACTTTTTAGTCTGAAATCTGTATGCTAGATATTGAATAAGGTGTTTTTTTTGTTTTTTGACACTTTGAATAATATTTCTGTTTATGTTAAAAACAAAATCAACTCTGGAGTCTCTGTATAAATATATCAGGTGTCGGTTAAGGCCCATGGGCCTTTTGTTTAACTTTACTATTTTAATCTGGTCAGACTTTGAATAACAGGGCCTTTGGCCCATATTCATGAAACAGATCTTATGCCGAAGCATGGGTTTTGTGTTCAATCCAACTTAATTGTTTCGTGCTTATATTGAGAAATCGATAGAAAAAAATCCAGGTGACCCGTATTGGCTTTTAAATGTTGGGGTCTGTTGTAGAGAATCGATTCATACTACATGATATACATCAACTAAAACCCATTTTAAACTCCATCAAATAAAGATATCACTATTGCATGTGGTTCATTTAATTTCAGTGACGTCACTGTGGTGTCACAGTATCCATTGTTTCTACCTCCAATGATACCTATTGGACCTTGTTGATTTATTACTTGTTATCATCCTGGTTCCATTCATGTTTCACCTAGCCTTGTGTATAGGCGTTAATCAACCGCTGAACTGATTTGTTATCGTTTTCTTTCAATATTGATTCAATGAAAATACACAAAGAACAAAATGATCACCACCTATTGAGTTTAACAAGCCGTTGATGCATATTTTTAACACACGATTTTTTAAGAAGTATCCGAAAATCACTCATTTTTGTGATATTCAACCCTTAAACATTATCTTTGAATCCTTGCACATCAATATATGCCGATTTCGTTTTGAATTTTATTTGTTTGTTTTCCAACTTTACTATTTTAATCTGGTCAGACTTTGTATAACAGGGCCTTTGGTCCATATTCATGAAACAGATCGTTTGCCAAAGCATGGGTTTTGTGTTCAAACCAACTTAATTGTTACGTGCTTAGTTTGAGCGAAATTGTCAAACATGCATCTTTAAATACATGTACTTAAACCGGTATTTGGCTTCGATTCCCCCATACATTCTTCCAAACCAATGCCAATATTGAAGTTAAATTACTTTATTACTGGAACAAGAAATTTGGCTTGAGCACAGAATATGAGTTTGAGCATGAGAACGTTTCCGTGAATACGGGCCCTAGTGTCAATTCGTTTCAAAGGCATGGAATGAACGTTATTGAGTAACAGTCATGCCTTTATGAACATGTATTTTATATAATATACGATATTTATTAACGTTTATGTATGAAAGCCAAAAACATTTCATTCCGACATGACAATACAAAGTTACAAATCCTCCACTTGTAATTTCAAACATTGTGACTTCATTAGGAACATTGTGGTGATGGGAAATCACAATAAAGGTTAAAATGTTAGAAAATCCTGTGATGTTTTTGGTCAAATTATTTTTATTTATTTAATGGTTGTGGGTTTTTTTACGAAATGCGATATTTTAGGTAAGAATTATCTCAAAGCCGATACAATGTCATACGACACTGTCGAGTACGATTTTTAAAAAATCGAGAATTTATCAAATCTTAATGAGGGCACCAAGTGATTTATTTGAACGTGCAAAACGGCAAAAATAATTGAAACACTGAAACAACAGTATCTCTGTTAACAAATTTATCAGCATGTTAAGTTTGATTTTTGGGTTCTAATTTGGCCAGATAAATATTATTGTAAGGATCCAAATGTCGGCAAAATACTTCAGAACTCCAATGCGGTTTTTGTTGTATTTCGTATACCCACTACTTTCCCTTGATTTCGGTTACGATATCGATGTCATCGTACCGCAGTTGGGCCAGAGTACTCATGTTGAAAATGAAGCTCAGTTGTTTAGAGCAACATTAAAATACTCTTGAGGTCTTGGATTCAAATTCTGATCTAGCTCCGCGAATTTCTTTTCTCTCTGATCTTTTGTTGATTCTATGTCTTTTATTTATCTTTATTATTTTTTTTCGTTCTGCAAAGCATCGTTTTCTTTTCAGAAATGATTTATTAAAGATTATGTATGGTCATACTGGAAAAACGCAAGTTTTGACAGTGGTACAAGGATCATGAAATGATTTTATATTTCATTGTCGCTCATACGTTATTGTATTTTTATTTGTTATTTTAATTTTAGAGATAAAACACAATGAAACAAATAGTAGCTTGTAATTTGTTTTTTATTGATGACATTAATCTGATAGCACTGTATAACAAAAAAGTACAGATATACCGGGGCGCGATCTTCTTCCGCTTCTTTAAAATCCACTTATCCGACGATCCCTTGGGCGGGCGTCTCAATACTGCAAAGAAGTATGGTCATTATTAGTAACATAATGATATTCAAATACCTTTAATTATTGTAACCGAATTACATATAGTTTTATGACAAAATTGACAAATTAATTTCGTATTCAGTTTTTCAACAAAAACATTACCCATCATTCCTGTTAACGGAGTTATTTATGTCTCAGTTGATTCACTCTTCGAGAGGTGTATTATTATTATTATCATAAAAGATCTTCCCGATGATCAGTAAAGTTTCAATCTACGCTGGGAAAATTCTCGGTCGTCATTATAACCTGATTTTCACATATGCTATTTGTTTTCAGTATCAAACGTAATTAATAACTGTTTCTGTATGTGTAAGCAATACCTCACTGTTTACCATAGAGTTGAAAGTCCTTAGAATAATAGTTGTTATACCACGCTAAGCGTTCAGCATAAATCGCAACAACTAACTTTTACCCGTTGCCAGTATTATGTGACCAGAAGAAACACTTTGCTTGGTGTTTTTGGCATGGCATTTGTTTCAGTTAGCACTCTAAACTCGCCATATGATACTCAATGTACTACATACCAACTCCAGAATAACTTGACACGTAAACACGCATACAATTACTTGCGTGGAGGCATTATCAATTCATAAATGACCTTATGTGGTGTTCAGACATTAAACTCAATAACACTAAATCAAATAAATGTATCTTTAAACTTTAAAGACATGCATACTTTACATTAGTTGACGAATGTTTGTGCATCTTTGATGAATGATGTTGCTTGATATGAAAATAGAAGAAGGGTTAAGTAATGTTTCAAACTAAACGGGAAACAATAAATTTAACATACTCTACTTCACAGATAGGTCTCAGTAAATGGCGACAGTCGTATGCTCCAAGTTTGAAATCTCCCGCCCCCCAGATTCCAAGACAATCCCGACCAGACACGTGATCGGGTTCACCAGTACCCCAGTCATTCGTCAAGGTGAGTGCTGTTCCAGTCTCTGCCCATACCCAGTTATTTTCTTCCACGGCATCAGAGCCACCAGTCCAATATCCATCACCTTTGGAAACGGGAGAAATAGGATTAATTGTTTTTCATTCAAATCTACAGAAAATGTCAATACAAACGAAAAAGAAAAAATGCGAAAACGGGGATGACACATTTACCGTTGACTCAATACACTGGCTACACGACAGTCGACCAGGCAATAGGAACCGAGGAGAGACCAAAAACAAAAGACAGATACTTTGAAAAACCAAATATGAGGGAGCCAGCTAATTTGAAAGAATCAGCTTTCAAATTAAGAAAAAGCTATAATTTACATTGCTGTATGTGTAAAATCTTGTTTGTACAGAAACTATTCAATGGTTTTTCTATTAAGTACATAATTGGCATTCCACAATAATTTTCATATGTGTAGAACATCAATGAAAATATTGAAGCATTTTGTCATAAAAGTATGAATGAAATGTATATGTAAAGGGTGTCTCCGAACGTGATTGTGCATGCAGGAAGTCCTGTTTTTTATTTGAATCCGATGCGTATATTGAAGCATACTCTCGTAGAAAGTTATAAGACCTACATATACATTAATGTAATTTAAGTTATACCGATGCTTTTTTTTGTCGCGTAAATATGAATTAAAAGTAATGTCTGTAATAAAACAATTTTAATTTCAAATTGTGCTGTGACTGGCTGTAACTTTCGAAGGTATATCTGATAGCGTGCTGTTAAAGTATATACATGTACTATATCTGTTTACAATAAATATTACAATTTGTGTATAGACAATATATACTGATTCATCTACACAAAATATTATTACATATTGCATATAGACATTATATAGTTATTTCATTTACACTGAATTATATGACAGACGCATAAAGGCAAACATAGTATATATATTTACACTGAATTATATAACCTCTTGTATAAGAAAATATAGTGTATCTTTATAAATGTATGTTTTACAGATAATATTTGGAGAATGTAAAGTGCATTATACATACTTATATGTAAGTATATAAAAGATTGTATTTAGAAAATAAATACACAAAAAATATTACACAAAAATATGCATATATTACATGCTGTACTTTATATAGCATTTGTTGTATTTAAATTTTCTTACAGCTTGTATATAGACATTATAGTATAATGTATAATGTACACTAACCTTTACAGTATTTAATACAGACGATTAAGTCTAATTTATTTACAATCAATTATATTACAAATGGTTTAGGCAATATATTAATTTTGTTTACACTATCATAATTATCTTACAGCTTGTATTGGACATTGAGACAATAAATTAATTTGTCTACGCCAAATTATCTTGATAGCTTGTATAGAGAGTATGCAGTTTGTTTTCTTCACTAAATCATATTGTGTAAATACAATGTTTGATAATTAGTGACATTACCCCCTGCCTCCTTTGCCTTTCCTTTCACAAATATGAATTCAGCTTCTGTCTCCAATTTCAGCAAATGAGCATTGAATGCATGGCAGAATGACTGAAACAACAAATTAAAAACAAACACATACAATTTGGAATTCATCTTCATACAAGTAATTAAATAAGGTCTTTCACTCATTATAAAAGCAAAATACCCTAATTTCAATATATTTGTTTTATCTATTGTACGCAGTTAATCGGATTTTCAGTATTTTATGAGTTAATTTACGTGCAACCCTGTGTGGTATGCGACGTGAGTATTGGTGGTTTTATGTTGGTGTAATTGCTTTCTTGCGATAGCGCGGATTCGATGCTGACTTACTGCTTCACTGAAATACGTGCATCATGCGGAATGCACAAAGCACTTCACCCGGTTATATTATATACTGATAACGGATAAATTAGACGTTGTTCCTGCCAGAAATGCTGAATGTTTGGCAGAAAATAGCAGCTACTATTTATACACTATATTTGTTTTGTTATTACACCGCGTACTAGTCCTATTTACAGGAATCGCATTGATACAGCAAACCATCCCTGCAGGTACCAGGAAAGAACAGGCATGCTGTATCGCACTGAATGTGGTTAGAGGCGACTAAAGTGTGACATCCCCTGCAGAATCCGGGTTTTTTTTCGGTGTCTACTGAGGGGACATCAAATAAATAAAAATTGATCTGCTGTCCTTCATCACAACACTTGTTATCTATATATTTTCTTCTCTCACTTCCCTACCCTTTCTTTCTGGTGATGTCCCCTATGTAATCGTTTGTATATGACAGTAGCTGTTGCGACGATATTCAACCAAAAACAAACAAACAATTTTAGCAAACATTCCAGTCTCGTTTTATACCTACCACAGCTTCTGGCCACGTGAACTCACTGTGATGAAATCGGTAGCATGATCCTTGATGTTTCATGTAGCCATCTGGACAGTCAGCGTTAGCTAAAAATGGTCAAAATGATGAAAAACTTCGTGAACAAATATTCTGATTCCATTTGTATCTCGAATAGCATATTATCTTGGTTGAACTTACTGTACAATTGGTGTTTGTTTTCAGCTCACCTGACCCGAAGGGCCATGGGAGCTTATGCCGTACCGCGGCGTCCGTCGTCCGTCTGTCGTCCGTCAACCTTTTCTTTTGAACGACTTCTTCTGCAGAACTGGAGGACCTAGGGTCATGATATTTGGCCAGTAAGTACCTGAGATGGAGTGCTATTAAGTTGCCTATTTAAAATGACCTTGATTACCTTTCAAGGTCACAGGGGTCAATTATGTTAAAAACAACAATATTTTAAGAACCATTTGCACTAGAGTCTTGATACCTTGGTATGTTATGCAGACCAGCGGTGCGAATCTTTTTTTATATTACAGTAATGAAGTAAACCATCAGCTTTAAGTGCTAATATTGGATAAAATCTTTAACAATCTTCTTCTCAAGTCCCATAAGGCCCAGGATCATGATATTTGTCATGTAGGTACCTGGGATGGAGTGCTATAAAGTCCTCTTTAAAATGACCTTGACCTACTGTCAATGTCACAGGAATCAAATATGTTAAAAATCAGCAATATCATAAGAACCATTTTGACTAGAGTCATGATACTTGAGTATGTTATATAGACCAGCAGTGCGAATCCTTTTAGCTCACCTGGCCCGAAGGACCATGGGAGCTTATGCCGTCCTTCGGCGTCCGTCTGTCTGTCTGTCCGTCAACTTTTTCTTTGAGCGGCTTCTTCTGAAAAACTTGAGGGCCCAGGGTTATGATATTTGGCCAGTAGATACCTTGGATGGAGTGCTATTAAGTTTCCTCATTAAAATGACCTTGACCTGCTTTCAATGTCACAGGGGTCAAATATGTTAATACATTACCCATCTTCTTCTCAAGTTCCATAAGGCCCAGGGTCATACTATTATGCCAGTAGGTACCTGGGATGTAGAGCTATAAAGTTTCCTCATTAAAATGACCTATGTTAAAATTTCTTGTATAATAGTTACCAAATTTGGTCTGAAGTTGCCTATATGTCAGTTTCATGTAACAAAGGAAAACAGGTCAGCGATACAGGCCATCTAGGCCTCTTGGGTCATATTTATTTATACTATTAAGATAACAACATTAGCGGTAAGCTTAATAATCAGAGAACAACATTTACAATGCCAAATTACACTGAGAAGAATAAGTCCTCTTAACTTTAATTGTGACGTCATAAACAAGTATGACATGTAGCAAGCCTGTCCTTTTAAATTATATTCAAGCTGGTAAACTGAATGTTTTCATATCATCACTCCTATATGCAAATATGTCAAAACATTTATCACACTTGATGAATAATGTCAACTCGTTTGATTCACGGGTTACGGAATGTTATCTATATTGTTTTTGATTTCACCATTTATATTTTATACTTAACAACCTACTTTCTCAAACATATCCAACACTTCTTGCATTATGTGTACAAAATGGATACATTAAATTGTTTGGGTGAAGACGGGAAATAGAATAAAAGTGGAAAATGATAGTAACAACATACAGACACATGAAATCAAACGACATACACTGGAGCAACAGACCCAGAAATACAGTTGATAAATAGTTATAATAAAGTAAATGTGAACTATTGTTTTACTAAATATAAAACTTTAAGAGTAATCAAACCTGCCATGTTGAATCTTAAGTATTTTAGACACATAGCTAAAATCAGACCGTGTCAAATGTTCCTCGGCAACGAAGAACTTTTCTAAAAGTTACGTACCATATAGAATGCAGAACGATAGAACAAAGGCGATGGCAAGCATGTTGTTCCCGGGGATCATTAACGCTCTTAAATGTTACTGATACGTTGACTTGCGTGTCACTTCGTCCGACAAACGCCACCTGGCCTATCTAACTAGTATAACTGTGTCAAACGGTGAAGTATTGTCATCTTATCTCTCCTATTCTTATTGATTTCTAACATATGTTGCGGTCTATGTTTTGTCCTTATTTTATGATTCTTAACAATACCAATAAAACAAAAAATAGCCTTTTCCCTTGCGGTTTTGATGCAAAGTCGCAAGAAGGAGAATATGTTGGTTTTCACCTTAAGATTAAGCTGATAGAACATTAAGAAACTACAAACATGTTTATAGATAAGAGAAGGGAAGCATTGGTCAGATAACTTGATGTGAACGCACTTCAACGGACAGATATCTCAAAATGGCTTCGACAATTTATATAAAACGTTTGAATAATAAGTGGGTGAACTTAAATATCAGTGTATGAATGTGCATAAAAACTAAAGAAAGGTGTTTAAAACCATTATAAATACGGCATCTTAACCAGTTCCACGTCTCATGTAAAGATTTCATAAAATAAGTCAAAAAGGGGAACCCTAATATAAATTTGAATAATGTAAAGCTTATTATTATTGTACGTAAAGCTGACAACAATGAGGTGTCATCAACTTTTTCAAATGGAGTTTAGGTTTGCTTCAATTCTAAAGACGATTGCTGATATACATTAATTAATTAAGATTGAGTTTGCTGTTTTCTAATCACTGTTGATGATACTTACATAAATATCGTGTTCACTGTTTTTTCAATGGTATAATTCAATACATGATGACTGTATTTGCTGTATTCCAATCTCTGTTGTTGAAACTTTAATAAAGTTGTGATTAGCTGTATTCTCATTGATGTTGTTGGTACTTTCATGATGTTTCAAATTGTTGTATTTTCTGTATATTATTGATACATTTATAAAGATTGGGTTTGCTGTATTTGAAGATTGAGTTTGGTATAATCTCATCACTATGATAAATGCTTGGTAGATGATTGCGTTTGGTATAATCTCATCACTATGATAAATGCTTTGTAGATGATTGAGTTTGGTATAATCTCATCACTATGATAAATGCTTGGTAGATTGAATTTGGTGTATTATCATCACTTATGTTGATACTTCAATTGGGATCGGGTTAACAGTATTCCAGAAAATATTGTTGCAAACTGGATTAGTTTTATTCCAATCACTTTATTTATTACAACATGAAGACTGTTTGTTGTAATCTCAGAATTAGCTTTGATAAATGACAGAGATTTGGTTTGTTGTATTGTCATAACATTGTTGTAATAGTATGACTATATAACATTGATGTATGATTTTATAACATTTATGTATGACTATACAACATTGATGTATGACAATACAACACTGATGTATGACTATATAACATTGATGTAATACTATATAACATTGATGTATGACAATATAACATTCATGTAAGACTATAACATTGATGTATGACAATATAACATTAATGTAAGACTATATAACATTAATGTAATACTATATAACAATGATGCATGACTATATAACATTGATGTATGACTGCATGTATATAACATTGATGTATGACAATACAACATTGATGTATGACAATATAACATTAATGTAAGACTATATAACATTAATGTAAGACTATATAACATTGATATATGACAATACAACATTGATGTATGACAATTCAACATTGATGTATGACTATATAACATTGATGTATGGCTATATAACATTGATGTATGACTATATAACATTGATGTATGACTATATAACATTGTTGTATGACAATATAACATTGATGTATGACGATATAACATTGATGTATGACAATATAACATTGTTGTATGACTATATAACATTGATATATGAATATATAATATTGATATAAGACGATATAACATTGATATATGACGATATAACATTGATGTATGACTATATAACATTGATCTATGACTATATAACATTAATATATGACAATATAACATTGTTGTATGACAATATAGCCTTGATGTATGACGATATAACATTGATGTATGACTATATAACATGGATCTATGACTATATAAAATTGATCAATGACTATATATGTTATATAGTCATACGTCAATGTAATATAGTCATAGATCAATTTTATATAGTCATACATCAGTGTTATATAGTCATATATCAATGTTATATAGTCATACATAAATGTTATATCGTCATATATCAATGTTATATAGTCATGCATCAATGTTATATCGTGATATATCAATGTTATATAGTCATTGATCAATGTTATATAGTCATACATCAATGTTATATAACATTGATGTATGACTATATAACATTGATCTATGACTATATAACATTGATCAATGACTATATAACATTGATGTATAACTATATAACATTGATGTATAACTATATAACATTGATGTATGACTATATAACATTGATCTATGACTATATAACATTAATATATGACAATATCACATTGTTGTATGACAATATAACATTGATGTATGACTATATAACATTGATGTATGACTATATAACATTGATGTATGACTATATGACATTGATGTATGACTATATAACATTGATATATGACGATATAACATTGATCTATGACTATATAACATTGATCTATGACTATATAACATTAAGATATGACAATATAACATTGTTGTATGACAATATAACATTGATGTATGACGATATAACATTGATGTATGACTATATAACATTGATGTATGACTATATAACATTGATGTATGACTATATAACATTGATATTTGACTATATAACATTGATGTATGACTATATTACATTGATGTAAGACTATAACATTGATGTATGACTATATAACATTGATTTATGACTATATAACATTGATGTATGACTATATAACATTGATGTATGACTATATAACATTGATATATGACTATATAACATTGATGTATGACTATATAACATTGATCTATGACTATATAACATTAATATATGACAATATAACATTGTTGTATGACAATATAACATTGATGTATGACAATATAACATTGATGTATGGCTATATAACATTGATGTATGACTATATAACATTGATGTATGACTATATAACATTGATGTATGACTATATAACATTGATGTATGACTATATAACATTGATATATGACTATATAACATTGATGTATGACTATATAACATTGATGTATGACTATATAACATTGATGTATGACTATATAACATTGATGTATGACTATATAACATTGATGTATGACTATATAACATTGATGTATGACTATATAACATTGATGTATGACTATATAACATTGATGTATGACTATATAACATTGATGTATGACTATATAACATTGATGTATGACTATATAACATTGATGTATGACTATATAACATTGATGTATGACTATATAACATTGATGTATGACTATATAACATTGATGTATGACTATATAACATTGATGTATGACTATATAACATTGATGTATGACTATATAACATTGATGTATGACTATATAACATTGATGTATGACTATATAACATTGATGTATGACTATATAACATTGATGTATGACTATATAACATTGATGTATGACTATATAACATTGATGTATGACTATATAACATTGATGTATGACTATATAACATTGATGTATGACTATATAACATTGATGTATGACTATATAACATTGATGTATGACTATATAACATTGATGTATGACTATATAACATTGATGTATGACTATATAACATTGATGTATGACTATATAACATTGATGTATGACTATATAACATTGATGTATGACTATATAACATTGATGTATGACTATATAACATTGATGTATGACTATATAACATTGATGTATGACTATATAACATTGATGTATGACTATATAACATTGATGTATGACTATATAACATTGATGTATGACTATATAACATTGATGTATGACGATATAACATTGATGTATGACTATATAATATTGATGTATGACTATATAACATTGATATATGACGATATACCATTGATGTAAGACTATATACACTATATACATTATGTATGTATTCGGTGTAAATACGTTTCAAATCGAATATGTGCTAAACATATATCGTGTTGCCGTTGTTTATTGTTTGATTACCAAATTGACCGATTTACCGGGTTACTCTATCGGAAGATTGTTTGAGTAACCGGTTACCAAAATGTGACCGGTTTGACAACCATACTATATGCTCATGAAATGAGTCTACGCATGATGTACTCCTTCATAACATTGAAATATCATAATATATATCTTTGATTTATTACCACCAATCAAATTTCCACGGAGGTATTGTCATGTTATATTATTGTCAGAGAAGGATAAAGCTCGAGCCCTTTGTAAAGGGCACTTTATCCCAATCACGTGACATTACATGGTAATTAACTGTTGAAAATCCGTTCTGATGACAGTCAGTGAACTCTTATAGTCTAATTTTACAAATTATGTAGAGAGTTATTCAATTACATAATAAAACGAACCCAAAACTACTTTTTTAATTTCAAAGTTATTTTTATTACAATGCCGGAATTAATACAATCAAATGTATCATCAATTGCAAAAGGAACATAAATAAGTATGTGGGCCAGAGAGAAATATAAAGAAATAGAAATTGTATTATGCACACATAAGAAATATTCATGTTGCCCATGAGGTATTGTTTTGGAAAGAAGAAACACGAGTACAACTCTGAACATTCTGATAAGGAAATTCACATTCATCACAAACATTCAAATAGTAAAATGTTCATTCGCTGAAACAAACATTCCACTACTGAAATACGAATCTGCACATTTACAGATAACATTGCATTGTTGCAATACGCATTACTGATACCGACAATACATATATATATATAACACTACTTGATTGATTGGTTGATTGATTGATTGATTGATGATTGATTGATTGATAAGTTTTACGTCCGCTTCACTAACGAGTAGTTCGGTTATCCAGCAGACGATAAAAACGTGAAATATTTTCACATGAATATAAAACACACTACTAACATTCCGTCATCTAAATACACATTCACTAGCGCGCATTATGTAGTTTGCTTCAAATAGATAATAATTGCCATACAAAAACAGTTCAATGCTTAGATATATTTTAAAGTAAAACAAAACAAACATTGACTACACTTCTATTACGACTGTCATCAAAAGATGAGGTTTAGTAACTTTATCTCACTAAAACTATTACCTCATTACTGCTTCATATAAAGCGCAGCAGATCTGGTGGAGGAGGGTAGTAATGGATGAGTTGTAAATGTTTGAAGGAACGAATCTCATAGAATTAATATAATTGACAATCTGAACATTCACAAAAAACGGTATATATTGTAATAATATAGATATAAATTAAATGAGTTCATCAGCGCATGAATCACCATTCAAATGTGAATAAACATCTATAAGTAATCGAGTTCAAGGTAATAAGATTGCCTTCATGGGAGGAAACCTTGATAACGCTATGCTAAATCTTATTAAATATAACTACCAAGGCGATATTGATTTCTCTCATATCCGGTCATGTAAGAAAACACTAGCTATCTAAAATAGCCATGCTTGCATTGCTGAGTCTATTTTACGTGGGCGTGACGTCACAATGGCTCAACAATGACGTCACGTCACGAATTTGGAAAACACGGATGCCGCAATGCGGAAAAGGCAACGTGCTGAAATTAAAACCTTTTACAATATATTTACCGTACACGTTAGAAAGATGAGATTATTTTTTCTGCGCAAACTGAGTTTGCAAATATGGGGTATGCTGAATCTCGATGATGAATTCGTTTTCGTCAAAAAAGCTCAGGGGAAAATTGATATTTTCAAAATGAGATCCAGTCCAGACACTTTTTATGGTTTCTGAGCTTATTCTGGTAGTTGGAATGAGAGAAAAATACTGTTTCATGCCCAAGGGTGTGGGATAGGGAAATTCCACCTTCGGGATTTTCAAATTTGGTAAAACCCGAGGCATCCTACACCCTGAACATGAAAGAGTCTCACATTCTAGTATCTTGAGTATTATGTACAATTAGGACGGGGGAAAATACATGGATAAAAACAAAAGTTAAATGATATGGTGTAAATGGATCTCTATTACTTTGAAATAGTAAAGTGATGTATATTTGGTGATATGCTAAAGTATCAATAAGCGCATGAACATATTTAACCGAAGCTTACAAGAAGAGGCAAAAGGAGTTACAAAGAAAATACCAAATCACAAGTGTCATATATGGTAAGCGTTTCCTGAACACAAAAAGGCATCCACGTGATGTCTCCTAGCAAATCCAACAAACTAAGATCTGTCACAAAAGTGCAATGGTTTTTAACAAAACAGTAAAACATGCAGTTTTATCTATCTAGCTTAACACTTACAATGCATGGACTTAAAAAATAATTAATATCATTATACCTTATCTATATAACAACATGTCTGAATGGATTTCATTGATCACATGACGGGAAAAAAATCGTGTTTCTTTCGTGCTCGAGTTTCCTCTATCATATTTCCCTCAATCGGAGTCTGGCTAGAAAAATGAGCAGGATACACGATCAGACACCAAACCTACATGTATATAAGTTTCGAGTGACTGATTCTGGCTGCAACAATAGCGTGTACGTCTTACAATCTTTACTGTTTTGTTTCTTGTATAGAATGTTCGGTCATGTCGGGTTCGCTTTCATGAACTATGATTAGTTTTTGGGAAACAAAGATTCGTGTTTCCCTACAACGATTGTAATAAATGTAGAATGTCATGATGTATAATAAGGGGGCATTATAATAACAATCTGATAATACTGTTACCAATATAATGTACACAACAAGTTGTATTAGATTTTTTAGTGCGGAATTATTTTCTTAAGGAGATGCGTTTCGAAGTTACATTGTACACAAAATGTATGCTACTTATTGTGTTTGTAAGTTGAAACGTGATTTGATTTTGTGCGAATCTTTGAATCGGACAGATAAATCATTCAATTTTTTTTTATATGTGAGTGATCACGTGAACAGGAAACCTTATTCACGTCTAATTGGTGGCGTGTTCAGATTGCACGCGTGCAGTGTGTGTATGGATAAACATGTATTACGATCGTTTTGCCTAACTTAAATATCTCTATTTGCGCAACAAACCCGATCCAATCTATAAGTGTTCTTTACATGCATATTGTATAGTATCCAATACACTACCAACTTGATTTTAATACTTCATCTCAGGAACAATGGCGGAATGAACGTCGTCGAGGAGAGAATAATAACGTGTCGTTACCATAGCGTAAAATGAAGATTTTATGTTCGGAATGCATTCTTATTTCAATTCCTCTTTTTGACAAATGAATTCTTTAGCTATAATCTCTTTAGCAAGAAAGCGTATATTTAGTCGCGAAAATGAACTAAATAGAACATTAAATGGCTGCTTGAGAATTATTTTTCACAAGTGTGACAGAATAAGAATATTTTCAAGATACAAAATAATGAAAACTGATGGCGGTCCTAACGTCATATGTAAATGGTTTCTTCAGCATGTAAAAATGCCACATACATTTGACAAAAATGCAAAAATAAACATAATTAAGTACATTTTGAACAACGTGTACAAAATATTTGAGCAGAGGGCGAAAAAATTCGTAAACAGAAGAAACCGAAAGCAATTTTAAATTACAATAAAACTTTGAACACACAAAATTCAATCAAAACATAACAAATAAACATTGAAATCCACACCAACATATTACAACTAATTTATATCTATTAGTATATATTTTAAATAACTGTCTATCAGTGGCTTGGTTTTGAATATGATCTTACAATCTTTCCCCTATTCCGTCTTTTCGTATTGCAGAGTTATCTGCTCTTGTGAGCAGGTATTGATTGTTTAGTTTGTGTGAGAAAATTACGTCGTTTTCTCAAAAAGGTATGACGTTACTCTCACAAACAAATGACGTAACAATCAATACCTGCTCACAAGTGCAGATAACTCTGCAATACGAAAAGACGGAATAATCTTGATTAACAATGAATGCTCTGTCGCAGTACCGAAAGAGTGATAACAAAGGGAGACAACTCTTATAAAAATTTTACCTCTAAATATGAAAGGAGGTGAAGCCGGATATTCCGTTAATATTGAAAAACAATGTCATGATGTCTATAGTGCATGTATCAATCAAGAAGTTTTTAAATAAATGTTATCAATTATTATTAATTGGATAGTCATTTCGATGATGGTCTTGTATAGTTCCCGATTGTAATGGAAAGGTCCCGAGTTCAATCCCGACTATTTTCTTGTTTTATTTCACTCTATTTTCAAAATTCCAATCAATTTCAAACAACTACAATTCTGTAAAATGCATGACAGTTAGTGATTTTATGGAATATTTCTCTTGCAAAAACTTAAACAATTATTTGACAATAGTGACAATAGTAATACATTTGTATTGTCTATCTTGCTTTTATCATTGACCTGAAAGTGACATGTCCCTTCAAGTTATAAGAACTCTTTACCATGTTCTCTATAAGGTGAGAAGGATTGCGATATATAAATCTTAATTTCAGACGACATGCATTATATAAGTACTTATCTATTTAAAAAGAGTTTTAATATATTGATTTAAACTTTAAGCCTACATATATATATAGCTCTCTTTGTAGGTAGGGTTTAGAATAAGTTTGAATCAATATATTGAATCGCGGTGTAAATAGCTCTCCTTGGTACTGTTCAAATAACACAGATCATTTAATCAATAAATGGAACGAATGCGTCTTACAAGTTAACTGATATACATATACTTGTAACTAACCAGGTTTTTTTTGTATTGTGCCATTTTCGTAATATATGTACAATCTTTGTTGCTCCTCAAATTTTGATGTGCATTAATGTGCAGTGTAACATCCATGCTAAACAGACTCGAACTCGAACCACTGAAAGACAGACGTTGTGAACACAGACTAGTACTGTTGTTTAAGATCGTCAATGGGCTAGTAGCCATACACGCTGACGACTACATCACAGTCGGCCGTACCAACACACAACGATATCGTGTAACACTGAAAACTACAGACACTTTCTTCCCACGTACACTAACCGATCGGAGCGCTCTAAAAGAATCCTCCATCATGATCAGTGCAACTACGGTCGACCAATTCCGTAGTAGCCTCAAAAACTAACTTTTACTACATTCCTCCTCCCCGGATGTGATATTCAATTTATGAATTTTATCCGTAACCTTACAGATACAGATACAGAATATTGTAGCGTGATATAATGTTAAATTGTATCGTGACGTCATAATGTATCACTTAACGTGACGTCATCATTTTCAGCGAAACATCAAAATAGGAACTCAAGATTGTGATACGAGATTAAAATCGTTTGAGACTATCATGACTTAAACGGATGTGTTGTTCTGTCTTTTATAATTTCAACCCTGTATGATCAAATTCAAAACAGACTTTTGATCTTCTTGAAATAAACGAGCAAAAACTTTCAAGAAAAAAAAAAATAACAAAACGTATACGATCGATCAGGAACCCGCAAACATGCATCCTACCGAGATCAGGTGGAATGGCCGAAAGGAAAGTACAACCATTTTAAACAATATTAAAATTTACATAATTCTTCCAAATCATTGACAAAAAGTGAATTTCTATAAATATAACAAATTAAAGAAATAACAAGCATATTATATGACGGTTTCAACTTCATCAATGGTGCAGAAACAGTATCCCTTGAGGAACCTATCGGCGACACACTTTGACTGGGTGCCATAGCGATTGGTCCGACTTATATCATCAATGATTTTAAGCCGCCCATCCGTAGTCCGCACAACAGAAGACTCGAATGTCGCATTTCCGGGCGTAGTTCTCAAGAAAATTAGATATTTCTTGTCATCTTGTTTTTCTGGAGTCGATATCCAATTGCGTAATGTAAACTTCAGTTCTTTATCAGCTTTTCGTTCAAGGTTATTTGTAACAATCCGGGCCTCCATGATCTCGCCTAAAGATAACTTTGCGCATCTGTTCCGAACCGGATGTAGTAAATTATTAATACTTTGCAATACAAAGTCAGCAATAGTTTTTAGAACTGGATCTGTTTTGTTAATGGGTTGTGACGAAAAGCACGCGCAATAATGCTCTGGTATCATAGCATCCGCACATGAGCGCACCTTGGGAATACGTCTAAAAATACTAACGGCTCGTGGCGCGCGGTTGTTGGCTCTGACGTTACTCGTCAAATTATTATATCTCTTGTGTAGCACGTCACGGATCGCTTCATATGTATCGAATGTCGTTGTAAGCCTTTCTTCATTTGCTCTTAAATTTTCAGCAATGGCTGGGTATTTCTTTTTCAACACGTCCGGTATCACTATGGAAACAAAAGGCATCCTATCTTCAATACGTCCTACATAGGTGTTTCGTATTTCGTCCACCCTCGACCCGTGATCACTGAAGAAAAGCAGTACAGTTTTATCTAAATGCCCTTCCACGTGCATCCATTTTATAAATTCCATGAAGTCATTATCACCATATTCTAGAAAATTAACGTAATTGTGAGCCAGTTCGTTGAGCCAGGTAAATGCAAACTTTCGTTTACCTTTGTAGGCGTGCACAAACTGTTTGAAGTAATCAACGATCAACATGTGATTGGGTCGGTTGCCGTAACACAAAGCGGAGGACTTTCGTAGCTTCATCGCCTTGGATTCCAAGAACATGAAGACCTGGTCTATCGTGTACTGCATTGGCTGAATTTTCCTCATCGCCAGCCAATAGGCTCGACTGTAATGTGTGGTTGGCGGTTTATCAAACCCCATCTTCATAACCTGGTTAATGGTGGCGATCTCGGGCCAATCCTCGCCGTGCATGGTGGCGTAACCATTTTTCTCGAAGTCGTACCAGATAAAAGGATAGTTGTCGGCATAATCGGTGTCAATGTTGACATGTTTATGACCAAACTGGGTTTTTCCAGTCAGTAGTGCTAAAAGATTGGGGAAAGTGTGATCGCCCACTTTGTTGTATCCCTTAAACATATAACCCCCGAGGGTTTCCGTAATGTACTTCACTGTTTTAGGGAGTTTCCGAATGGCTGCTAACCGTGAAACTGAGTCTATTCCGAACATAAGTACACTGAAATCTTCGTCCGTTTCGTCTTTGATTACTCTTGTTTTCTCCCTAGACTTTCTGTCTATTTTCTGGTGAATATTTTCATATACAATTTTTCCGCCCGGACTTCGACATCGGACGACAAACGCGTCTGCCGGCACGTTCACTGGCCCATCAAAAGCTACTTCGACTTCAAATTTCACCTTGAAATCATTTACCAAGTTAACAATACTGTAGACACAGTCTAGTTTTCCAGTCTTTGACGGGTTATATACGCTTTCGTTGAATCTCAAGAATCCAGAATCGTCCACAACGGTAAGCGTAGAGGTGGGATCACAAACAAGCGGAGGAGGATGCCAGTTATAGAATTTCATGATAGTGGGGTCATTCGGGTCAATATCGGGCAATATACATTCGCTATGTATATCATTGTGCATGAACACATAAAGCGGTTCCTGGAAATACTTAAAATAACCGTATACCATAAAAAACCCACCTAAAAACATCAGACCTATTAATTTTTTAGTACTTCGTATCCCATACAGGCCAAGGTAACGGGGACCTGTCCTTAAAACTTTCATGTTGTAACCTCCAATTTGTTTAAGGCAATGGAAACAAACTATTGCTTACAATTCAGGACAAAACTTTCGTATTAAGACGGAATTAATCCTTAAATCCAGATACACAAAACAACAACGTTGGCGATCACTTGATATAATCTCGCGATAGTTTGAATCAGACTCGGGAATTCGGATACATCCCACGTGACTGCTTTCTTTCCCGGTTTATTTAAGGTCTCTGATCTTTGGTCCTCGTTTAACGACGTTAATCTTGAATTACACGTGAACCATCATCCTGTAACAAATAAAATTCAGCAAGTTAAAATAATGCAGACATAATACATTTGCACATGCATAAGGGGTCGTTTGAACGCGATTACTCGGATACAATACTCCCCTTTTTATCATTCACGAAATATATATATGTAGATCATCATTTTTCCATGATGCATAAAATAGTTTGTCTATCTCTGAAAATGAGAGATAAGCAAAAGGTTTCTTTAAAATATTGTCAAAATCCGGCACATAAGATAGTATAGCTATCACACTGTCGGTGACATACATTTTCCGAGTTTTCAGTAAACAAAATTCGATATATAATTAGTGAAAATTAGATATCAGTTCAAAATTATTAATTTGAAACTATATAAGTTCAAAAAGTAAATACAGAAATAAAAAATGCAGACAAACAAAAACCAAATACATTAGTTATCCCCTTTTACAATATTCCCTAAGACCTTTGAGAATCATTTATAATTTTATTAATTAGGGCTTTTCACAAAATGGTGAAAAGACCTATTGTTTTTGCAATGTTTCTTCTTCTTTTTCTTATTCTTTTGTCATGATTTTGTGGCTACCTAGTCTTTTGAATGGAAGCAGATATTTTTCAAGTGTTACAAGTATAGTGTAGGTCAACGTCAAAAGGTGTCATTTCAACGTTTCCAAGTACACTGTAGGTCAAATATCTAATATGGCCGCCAATAACGTCATAGGTCAAAATCTAAAAATGTACGGCATTCATGTAGTTGTATTTATTTGTAGATATTCCTCGGTGCTAACGTTTTCTTATTACATGTTAATACAAAAGAAGTCAAATAAAAATCCTCGCTGTTGTGTCAAAGGTCACCAATCTTTCAACATGTTTTTCTGTAACATCCTACGCCATTTTGAATATTTTATCTGATCGTTTTGAAAAGGCTATTCAAAACGATCAGATAAAATATTCAAAAGCCGACAAATATTTAAACCGTTTTATTGTGGTGTTCTGGTTGGGAGATTTTATCCAGTCTACGTATTCATGCGCAGTCATCCTAAGCCAAACTGACTTACCACCAGACGACAGTGAGGATATTGGGTTCTGGGGCATCATGATATGGTTATTGCTAAATGGTTTGATAAAAAAAAACATTTTTAAAACTGCCCAGAAAAATATTGTATGGAATATGTGTTTAAATCTAACACCAATGTAACTAGGCACTGTATGGTAGACATCTTTGTTTTGCAAGTACAATGTAGGTCAGGTGTAATGCATACTCTCATAAATAATAGAAGGGCGTGGCCCATCCTCGATACTCCTTGGGTTACGTTCACTCGCAGTATCGAGGATTGGCCTGGCCACACCAAATGAAAATATAATAATTGTACATGCGAAATACCATGATATCTGCTTTATAGTTTATTTGATTCACTTTTATTGAAATCAATTATATTCTGCGACATCAAAATATTAATTCTGAACATGAAGAAATGAAAATTAGAGATTAACCTTACGACGAAGCCCCAGGGACCTGAGGATTTGTTACATCTATATTTGGACCTAAACTAAGGTGTTCAGAGTAATTTTACATGTTTTAGGGGTTTAGATCGATGTTCGGCAAACATTACACCCCAATGATCATATAAACGGTATATATGATCATTGGGGTGTCATTTTAATCAGTTTAGGTCAAAATATAGCTGTAACAAATTATCAGGTCCCTGTGGACGAAGCTCCACACTTGTATAGAGCTCGAGGGCTGCTGTAAAATCTGTTCAAACAACGTCACAACTCAGACACTACAGGATATAATTATGCAGTACGTATGTAACCAAGATAAACACAGACTTACAATGCAGTATTGAGTACCGCAGCACTGATCAATCATTCCAAGGTCATATATTAATATGCGCCCACATATCTCGTAGATAATTCGAGAATCGTGCGGTTGACTGACATATTTCATGGGCATTTAATCGAGTGGTTAACACTCCGGCCTTCCACGCAGGCGGCCGGGGTTCGATCCCCGAAGTCGTCGTACGCATGGAATATTCAGAGAAAGTGTTTTTCTCCTGCCCATACTACTCCAACAACCCATGAGGAGTATAAAATGCACACACGCAGGCATACACACCTAGGGAGATATTAGCCAGGAGGCATAAGTCTAGTAGTTAGTGCCTGTTAAGGCAGCTCTTGCGAATTCCTAAAAAATTGTATTGATTATTCAGGGACTGGTCTGTCTCGTTCAACCAGACTCTTGTTGTCTGAGCAAGCAATCAAGCGTCTGGTTGAATTAGACTATACGAGAGATTGCTTTCCTGCGTGTGACGTCTTTCACTTATCACGTAATATAATATCATAAATTGTTGTGTGTGTATATTTTATAGAATATAAAACTGGATATCTAATATTAGGCTGGCGGGGTTTCGGTATATGTATTATTTTCTTGTGTATGGACTTTGACTTCAGCAAGTCTAAATTGTTTTAGTTTTAAAGCTCATCACTTCCCGTGCCATGGCTGCCTTCTTATACATTCCATTTCTCCTTGTATCGGGGAAGACCAGAAACACGACTCTTCAACTTGTAAGATGAAAAGGATTGTCGACTAATTAATTACCAACATAAATAATATTAATACTAAGATCGTCCATTTCTGAAGAAAATGGCAAGGTGGAGGTGTTGTGTGTGTGTGTGTGTTTTTGTGTGTGGTGATGGGGGGAGGGGTCAACATCTATGTGAATCTAGAATATATTGCCGAGTGTGTTGAAATATTATTTCATTTTCTTGTTGGCTCAATACGAAACAACCAAAAAGTATCTGAAAAGTGTTCTGATTGAAAAGGAATCAGTGGGACTTACAAGACCAGAATTCGAACCCTGGACTTAAGATTGAGCTACATGAACCTGGTCAACGAAAAGCGTCCTGGTCTAAATGTGCTAAGGTTACATCGAAACGGAAGTTACCAGGAGGTTACTAAAAAAAAGGGAAAAACACAATGCAGTCGGACAGGGATCTTTAATTGGGAAAGAAATCCATAACTCATTATCCCTTGGTCTCGGTGATATGTGGACAACGGACTATTTTTTTGTGTGCAATGAAATTATTCTGCTCCATTGATCAACCTGTTGTTCCACACTTCACAGGTGCTTAAGAAAAACCTGTTGATAAAGACAGTTCATACTCGCCTTTATTCTGAACATTGACATGTACATCTAAACGGCTTCAAGCTTCACGACTTGGCCATAGCACAATGGAATTACGCAACCATTTTTTCCCCTCATATTTCACGCGATATTACTGATAACACACAGCGATAAGTTCGCCACTAAAGATAGAAAATAGAAATATGTGAGAGAGAAAATAGCCGATATTGGGAGAGTGACGAATCGACGCTTTAATCAGAAACCTTCAGTTTAGTGTCCTCTGACCCTGACACCAGACTTAAGACATTTTGACAGATACATTGTAGATGTCTGGGCCAACACCAGACATCCCACAAGAGTTTTCTCAAAACTATATTACGAATAATATGTTTACTCTGCAAAATGCAAACATATAGGAAAAAATATCATATTGTCTTCGGAAACGGTGGAGGGAGGGAACGCCGAATGGAAAGTTTTCTCGCGCTTTTCATTCTTACATATTCTTTGTATAACTCCTTACAAAACATGCAAATTTATATACTTGTGTACTTGAATAGGGCAATATTAGTTTTATAATTATAACGGAAGATATAACGGCCTATCATCACGAAAACATTCATACCAGAACCCATTCGGAACTCCTCGGGTAGCTTGTTCCTCGTACACTAACGAATACACTAGTACTTGGCAAATAAATTGTGTCTGGTCTTTTTTAAGACATTCAAATAAACGGGAGAGGGAAAGTCAACATTTGTAGGTACATGTTAGACAGTCACACATCAAATATTTCATTCCCTACGATAATTGCATAAAAAAAATATTAAAACAACGTGAACGAATCCGGGCTTCTTACGGTATGATAATTGTTCACTAACACGACCGGTCTCTTTATTCTGTGGAAAACTACCATAAAGTAAAGTGTATGCTAAAATTCCTCGTTATGGTTATTAAATTAGCTTTGTGATATACGGTTTTGGGAATTTGCCACCTTACAAAATTCCTAATTGATCTTATTTGTATTTCATTCTTTGTAATTAAAAGCACAAACATGATCCAAAGTTGCAGTATTAACAATCTGTACAGGGTTCGGGGGGGGGTGGGGGGGGCTTGCCTGCTGTATTCCACGTTATTGATTATCTGATTAGTTATCAAAGTTGATATACCTGTGCAATTTACCTGTACACCATTTCTGCAATATACTATAACTCAGTATCATCACAACTGACCACCTATGTAAACATGTGATTTTAAGCAGGGTTGGTGTTCAGGGAAGCCCCCCCCCCCCCCCTAAATACAACAACACCCGAGATATTTATAGATATTATTTCCTCGCCTTTCCTACTTTTTTCTCTCTTTTCGGTGATATATCTATCTCCCTCGGTACCAGCGTCCAATGACCTTTAACCTTAATTAGCTGTTGTGAGAGCCAATTTTTGCTAAGCTTATTTGTTTGCATATCGTGTTTGGCATTTACTTAACACATGCTAATCCAACATACCCATGCTAGTGAACCCAAAACCAGACAGAGGTGAACGCAGACAGTTTAGCTATCCTAACAAAGAATAGCTTGTTCGGTTTACGTGCACTTACATCGTTTAATGAGTCAAAGGTGTTTTTTTATATTTGAAAAGAGAAAATGGTTCAAAACTTGGGGATGGTTATTGGGGGGAGGAGGGGGAGAAGATATTTTAACTATACGGTCAGACCTAGAATCGATGTCATGGTCGGAATATCTGTATGTACAATAACCGTGCTATTTACCTTATGTACCTCTATTCTGCGTGTTATAATGATTTATTTAACAATACCTAGTTCTTTTCTTTTGTAAATAACAATCTTAATTTTATTTGTGTACAATACAATGTACATTTATTTATGGCTTATATGTCCTGTTCACATATTCCCGTATATCATTCTGGTTTTCTAATTATCTTATTCTCCTTTGAACAGTAATATTTACACTTGTAGCGGTAAATGCATCACATGTTGTCATCTCAATTCCGTCTTTTCGTATTGCGGAGTTATCTGCTCTTGTGAGCAGGTATTGATTGTTACGTCATTAGTTTGTGTGAGAAAGTTACGTCGTTTTCTCAAAAAAAAAGACGTTACTCTCACAAACAAATGACGTAGCAATCGATACCTGCTCACAGGAGCAGATAACTCTGCAATACGAAAATGCGGAATAAGGAGAAATAAGAACGGAAATTAAAAATGGTGAAGAGGTATGGCGCACTTGTCACTGTTTCGACATGACGTGACCAACAGTAGGATCAAAGATAATATTTCAGCATTTCTAGTATAGTACATTGTCATTATCTCCCCTGGGATTTAATGGCCGATACAAAACCACGGACAATGCGGCTTAAGTTTTCCGATAGATCTATATTGTGTTCGGCACTCCATGCCCATGATTTACATGACTCAAAGTAAATAAACTACACAAACTCAATATAGCTTTGTTGTGTTGAGTGAGCAATGGCTAGCTATACGATACCTGTCTGGGCTTTAACAGCGTTGTTAAAACCAATACCTGGGCCGTTTTCGTTTAAACGGTCAAACCGATCGGACCACTGTTGTTCGTTTATTAAATCAGGTCGGACCTAGTAATCTGATGCTGCTTTCAGGCGAGCCTTGAGAAAGCCTTGCAAGGCCTGCATACACATTTGCAGGTCCGCCAGGATTTATACCCGAAATTGTTACATTTATAAACGGTCAAACCGGTTGTTCCGCCTAAACGAACAGGCCCCAGGTAAGCTGTTTGCATGGTCATTGTAAACTAAATGACCAAGGTCTGTCCGATCGTACAAATACACCGTATTTTGGCTGATAAATAATTGCTTTTTGTATGTTATGTTAAAGGTTAAAAACTGCATCATATAGCATCTTACTTTCCACTGTAAATTATCTTGATATTGACGCTAAAATTCTTTCAAAACTAGGATTTTAGCAAAATATCTATAGGATCTTACATGAGTTTCTATCTCATATGAGAATTATGAAACGAGTCTAAATTTTGTTTGTGATTTAGCGAACCTCTGGCATTAATTTTCTGAGTCATTTAATTAAGTCATTCAGGCATTTATATATCGTTCCGTATATATATCGATATGTCGGGGAGAAAGAGCATCGGCGAATTCAAAATGCAGATTCAGAAATAAAAGGACGCAGTCAGCATGATAATCGACGGGCTATAATTAAGGAGAGTGTGCAATGCACACGAAAATATAAATATGGTGTAGAACCCGAGGGGAATGTTGGGCAGAAGAAGGAGTATGTGGTCTGTAGAAGGAGAGTGTGTGGTGTAGAAGGAAAGTGTGTAGTGTAGAAGGGGTGTGTGGTGTAGAAGGAGTGTGTGGTGTAGAAGGAGTGTGTGGTGTAGCAGGAGTGTGTGGTGTAGAAGGAGAGTGTGTTGTGTAGAAGGAAAGTGTGTGGTGTAGAAGGAGTGTGTGGTGTGTAAAAGGACAGTGTGTGGTGTAGAAGGAGTGTTTGGTGTATAGAAGGAGTGTGTGGTGTAGAAGGTATGTGTGGGGTGTAGAAGGAGTGTGTGGTCTGTAGAAGGAGTGTGGGGTGTAGAAGGAATGTGTAGGGTGTAGAAGGAGTGTGTGGTGTAGAAGGACAGTGTGTGGTGTAGCAGGAATGTGGGGTGTAGAAGGAGAGTGAGGGGTGTAGAAGGAGTGTGTGAGGTGTAGAAGGGGAATGTGAGATGATATCGTCACAGTGACTGTTTTGGTTATGGACAGTAATAAACACGCATGCACAGTGTCAATAATAACGTGTAGAACGGAATGATTTTTTTATACATGTGTTTACACAATTATTTGAAACACCGTACTTTTTATTTTCTAATATTTCCCCTTTGGCAAAGTGGAATTGATCCTGGTATTTGTGTAGCCTATACACATGTGTACAGGTATTTAAAGACTCAAGTAATCTGATTAATCTCATCTGTTACATGGCTCCGCCTGAACATTACTACGATGTTAACGAAGCCATGTAACATGATTTTGATCAGATTGAGACTCAGGAGTACGACCACAATACCAGCTGTCATATATATATGTGTTCACCTTTCTTCCACTTTTTAAAAAATACATAGAGGCAGTAATGTTGTGATAGCAGTTATAGTCTGTTTCATATATATTTGACTTGGTTTCTACCTGTGTTATACAGTACTGTCATATATACATGTAGCTTTGATATAGTCTATTTTCATCATTTTTAGCCATTTTTTTCATATCATATACCATTTTCATCAGCTAGATCTATACAAAACAGTAACGTGAAATCCACAAATATTGTATATATTTTATATACATGTACTTAATAGTATACATACAGATGAGAATGCTTTGAATAATTTAAATTTTAAAATTTAAAATTTAAATTTAAATTGATTTGAGGTGAAGGAAATTCATGTTGGAGCATTATTTTCAGAGAATCTTTTTTGCCAATGAATTCGTCTTCTGTGTAATTATTAATAACTAAGTATCACTCATTAGATTATTTTCCCCTAAGATATAATCATTATCATTAAGATTCTTTACACTACTCAAGACCAAGATGACAGAACTCAACCTCCAACTCAATCCCACCACCGTTTTCCTGGACTTTGAGACTGCTGCCCAGAACGCCATCCGCGCAGTGTTTCCAGCTGTGAGTTTTAAGGGCTGTTTCTTCCACTATACACAGTGTGTTTGGAGGAAAGTCCAGCAGACCGGACTTCAACAACTCTACGCCAACAACGTTGATGTCCGACAACTTGTACGGCGTGCCGCTGTACATGTACTGCCATTTGTTCCGTTAGACCGTGCAGAAGATGTCTGGTTCAATGCGCTGGAGGACATAGACGATGCTGATGTTCCACATGACACCACTCCATTTACAGATTACGTTGTGACGCAGTGGAGTGACTGAGATCAACAACTCTGGAACCACTTAGAGACCGAGGGACCGATAACAACCAACCACATAGAGGGATGGCACAGCAAACAGAAGAAAAAATTGGAACACGTCCACCCCAACATCTACAGCATTACCCGCGTCTTCCAGGAAATACAAGCCAGCAACGAGATAACGCGCATCCAACACGCAGCAGGGGGACAACTCAGACCAAGAGCAAAACGTTACCGTAACATCGACAGCCGCCTTAACCAACTAAAGGAACGCTTGGAGAATGGTACAACAGATGTAATCCAGTACGCCGACACAGCATCCCATCTTTTGCATTTAGAGTGACATTGTGATAAATGTGCTTGTTATGGGGAAAAAAATGGTGCTTTGCTAGAATTCCTGAAAATTATGGACTTTTCATTATATTTCACCTTTAATAAGTTAGTGCTATTATATTAGTTTTATATCATGTATCTTTGTGCATGTGTGCATTTTATGAATATGATTGATTTGATCAACCAGTGCTAATATAAGAATTCCATGTGTACATGTAATTAATTTTGTTTTATTTATTTTCATTCCCAGCTTTGCATCTATTTTTGCAAACTGTATACATGATCTCTGTCTGATTATTTTTGTCATAAATTGCTTGTAAATTGTATAGTAAAAATGTATAAAATTGGTTTAATATGAAGTTAATAAAAGCAGGTTTTCAGTTAACGTATTTTGATGTGTTTTTATTAAGTAATAACTGGGATCTTGTATATATTTATTCATAATTCCAGTAAATATTACGAAAACCAGGAAATATATATGTTAAATATTCCTATAACTAACACAGTATTTCCTATTGTTGAACAGGTAAATACAGGTAAATAATCTACCTGTACTATACCAGAACAGACTATAATGACACCTCTATTGTTTTCCTGCAGTGTTTATATAGTTCCTTTGGTCAGAAAAAAAGAGGGAGAAAGGCTAGGGGAACAAACCAAAAGGATATAGGTTTAAGCTTGAGTACGCCTGCAGCCTGTTGTATACACAAATTCCCTGACAAACCAATGCAAGCGAACCCGCGACACATGGTGACACGTTTAATAATAATGAAAATTACATAACGGTCTAAAATCACTCTCAAATATTACTGTCATTTATCCGAAAAATTAGAGGCGAAATTCTACCTGTAACAAATCGATAATCGACATTGATTATTTAAAAATAAAGGGAGACTCACCCGTCAATGTTTGCGTGCGCCTGAACAGCGTTCTTAGCGATCATACTGTTTATGGAATTCTCTGTTGCTATATATCCAATTGGTACGTTGTAAAATGATAAATATCCAATGTGACAAACTGCAGTGGTCTTCCACGTTTGTAACTACAAAATGTACGTGTGAGACACCATACCTTCTCGAATTAACAAACTGTCTGCTGAACACAGCGTGCTGTACGTATACTCTAGTGTGTATACAACAAGTGGGCCACGTGGGTTTATGGTAAAACGACCCGGGACAGTTACAAAACAGGCCAAACATTTACCGGGGATTACATGATGACTGGTTTGGGTTAATATAATGCAGGCTTACAATTTCTTGAATGCACTTATTCAATTGACGGTAATAGTAAAGGGTATAATAGAACTGTACGTACATGTAAAGACAGAGACGTATATGGTAGAGAGAAAAAGCACGGAATAACATTCCCTGCTGACTAAGTCCGTGATAAAAGATGACCCGTTATACCCTGTACAAGCAGGGACAGTATATACGTCACTGGTACAAGTAACCATCCATCATTTTGTTAGTATGATTTAACTCGCCGAGATTGGATTTTAAAGCGTATAAAACACGTTGATATCGGGAATCTGGTTCTTATGTATATATATATATGTATCACTTAGTTCATTTGTAATTATTTTTTAATATATTAAAAATTCCAATAATTAGCTAATATTGTTTTTCAAAACATCCTGGTTTACTCACTGTTATATCACTTATATATATGACTTATGTGATATCTATGTCGACATTTAAAAAAAAAAAGATGTCGACATAATCTGAGATAAGTAGATTTTGATTTACATAAACCTTCGATATTTGTCAATGTGTGTAGACATAACATAACAACACTATATCATTAGACTAAAAAATAAAAAAGTAAAAAAAAACTTTTTTTTTATGATTAATACGAACGGTCCATATAAATCATAAAAACAAAAATTAATAAAAAGTTATGATTAATTTTTTTTAGTGTATACTTGAGCATACAAGCATACATGTGTGCTACGCAACTGAGCTTATTAAAAGATCATTTATAAGGACATGCCTCCATGCGAAACGTGTAATATTGTCCATATGTATTATTGTAATCGCACACACTAATTATATAACTGTCTATAGAACACGTAGGGCTAGTTATGCCTACCATGTCATTAAACGAAGGGACGGACGGACGGCTGGTTGACTAAGGTAATTTAAGGGCGTGACGGACAGACGAACGGACAGTGTGATAACATAATGATCCCCGCGTTTGGTGGGCATATAAAAAGGAAATTAAATGCCCTGCTAGGTTTAAACATGTATACGGACACTTTGAAACCAGTGCGTGCTTGTCAAGATTAACCCGTACCTATAAGTCGGTCACGGCCTAGCTATTTATAGTGAAGTAAATATAAGGTCGCAGGGCATTGTACGCCATACAATACCAGTCATAATGGGAATTTCGCCTAAGGGTTGATAAAGCCAGATAATGTTCTTATGCTTGGTTGTTTTCTTTTATTTCAAGTACATCGGAAACCTGATCGACTGATTTTTATCTTTGACCATTACATGTACACATTTAACTTTAATGTACATGTACTTCGTCGCGTAGTTGTGGTATAATACGGGGACCGTCCGAACATTTACTATCCCGTTACAGCGACCTGGGCTCGTACCTATAGGCATCGATTTTTAGCTCGAGCCGAACTTCTTGTTTCCGTTAAAAACTGATAAAAAAATGTCAATGATTTGGAAAAAAATGAAGAGACTTAAAGCCGAATACTGTTTTTAGTGTTTTCATTTGACTTTTTGATTATTTGACGTGATTTAAGCGACTTTGTATATCGTTAAACGACTTAGTATCTCCTTAAAACGACAGACTATTTCGTTATAACGACTTTGTATCCTATTAAAGCAACATAGCATTTCCTTATGCTACAGTATATCACACAGTTGTCCGATAGGTACATGTAGTGGTTGATATGAATAAATACTATTTCGTATTTAAACTTATCCTTCTCACTTAAATATGTTTCCACATTTCAGCCAGATTTACTTGGTTACATTCTTATGTATGTTACAGTAATGAACACATCCATAACTATGTTACAGCACCATGTCTCCATGTTATAGCACCGTGTCTCCATGTTATAGCACCATGTCTCCATGTTATAGCACCGTGTCTCCATGTTATAGCACCCTGTAACTATAGTATAGCACCAAGTCTCCATGTTATAGCACCATGACTCCATGTTATAGCACCGTGTCTCCATGCTATAGCACCCTGTCACTATAGTATAGCACCATGTATCCATGTTATAGCACTATGTCTCCATGCTATAGCATCATGTCTCCATGTTATAGCACCATGCCTCCATGTTATAGCACCGTGTCTCCATGCTATAGCACCCTGTCACTATAGTATAGCACCATGTCTCCATGTTATAGCACCGTGTCTCCATGTTAAAGCACCCTGTCTCCATGTTATAGCACCATGTCTCCATGTTATAGCACCCTGTCTCCAAGTTATAGCACCATGTCTCAATGTTATAGCACCCTGTCTCCATGTTTTAGCACCATGTCTCCATGTTACAGCAACATGTCTCCATGTTATAGCACCATGTATCCATGCTATATCACCATGTCTCCATGTTATAACATCATGTCTCCATGTTATAGCACCATGTCTCCATGTTATAGCACCCTGCCTCCATGTTATAGCACCATGTCTTTATGTTATAGCATCATGTCTGCATGTTACAGCATCATGTCTCCATGTTATAGCATCATGTCTCCATGTTATAGCACCGTGTCTCCATGTTACAGCATCATGTCTCCATGTTGTAGCACCATGTCACCATAGTATAGCATCATGTTATGTTATAGCATCATGTCTCCATGTTATAGCATCATGTCTCCATGTTATAGAACCGTGTCTCCATGTTACAGCATCATGTCTCACAATGTCACCATAGTATAGCACCATGTCACCATAGTATAGCACCATAGTATAGCATCATGATCATGTTATAGCACCAAATCTCCATGTTATAGCACCATGGTATGGTCATATCACCATGTTATAGCACCATGTCTCCTTGTTATAGCATTGTGTCTCCATGTTATAGCACCAAGTCTCCATATTATAGCATCATGTTACCATGTCTACATGTTATAGCAACATGTCTCCATGTTATAGCATCGTGTCTCCTTGTCTAGCATCAGGTCACCACAGTATAGCACCATGTCAACATGGTATAGCACAATGTCACCATAGTATAGCACCATGTCACCATAGTATAGCACCATAGTATAGCATCATGTCTCCATGTTATAGCATCATATCACCATAGTATAGCACCATGGAATAGCACCATGTCACCATGGTATAGCACCATGTTATAGCACCGTGTCTCCATGTTATAGCATCAGGTCACCACAGTATAGCACCATGTCAACATGGTATAGCACAATGTCACCATAGTAAAGCCCCATGTCACCATAGTATAGCCCCATAGTATAGCATCATGTCTCCATGTTATAGCATCATATATGTTATAGCACCATGTCACCATAGTATAGCATCATGTCTAAATGTTATAGCACCATGTCATCATGTTAAAGCACCAAATCTCCATGTTATAGCACCATGGTATGGTCATATCACCATGTTATAGCACCATGTTTCCTTGTTATAGCATTGTGTCTCCATGTTATAGCACCAAGTCTCCATATTTTAGCATCATGTTACCATGTCTACATGTTATAGCAACATGTCTCCATGTTATAGCATCGTGTCTCCTTGTCTAGCATCAGGTCACCACAGTATAGCACCATGTCAACACGGTATAGCACAATGTCACCATAGTATAGCACCATGTCACCATAGTATAGCACCATAGTATAGCATCATGTCTCCATGTTATAGCATCATGTCTCCATGTTATAGCATCATGTCTCCATGTTATAGCACCGTGTCTCCGTGTTATAGCATCATGTCTCCATGTTATAGCACCATGTCATCATGTTATAGCACCGTGTCTCCATGTTAAAGCATCATGTCTCCATGTTATAGCACCGTGTCTCCATGTTACAGCATCATGTCTCCATGTTATAGCACCATGTCACCATAGTATAGCATCATGTGATCATGTTATAGCATCATGTCTCCATGTTATAGCATCATGTCTCCATGTTACAGCATCATGTCTCCATGTTATAGCACCATGTCTCCATGTTATAGCACCATGTCTCCAAGTTATAGCACCATGTCTCCATGTTATAGCACCATGTCACCATAGTATAGCACCATGCCATCATGTTATAGCACCATGACACTATAGTATAGCACCATGTCATCATGTTGTAGCACCATATCTCCATGCTATAGCACCATGTTATTGGCATAGCACCATGTCTCCGTGTTATAGCATTGTGTCTCCATGTTATAGCACCATGTATCCATGTTATAGCACCAAGTCTCCATATTATAGCATCATGTTACCATGTCTACATGTTATAGCAACATGTCTCCATGTTATAGCATCGTGTCTCCATGTCATAGCATCAAGTCACCAAAGTATAGCACCATGTCACCATGGTATAGCACAATGTCACCATAGTATAGCACCATGTCACCATATTATAGCACCATAGTATAGCATCATGTCTCCATGTTATAGCATCATATCACCATAGTATAGCACCATGGTATAGCACCATGTCACCATAGTATAGAAACCATGTCACCAAAGTATAGCACCATAGTATAGCATCATGTCTCCATGTTATAGCATCATATCACCATAGTATAGCACCATGGTATAGCACCATGTCACCATAGTATAGCACCATGTCACCAAAGTATAGCACCATAGTATAGCATCATGTCTCCATGTTATAGCATATGTCACCATAGTATAGCACCATGTCTCCATGTTATAGCATCATGTCTCCATGTTAAAGCATCATGTCACCATAGTATAGCACCATGTCACCATAGTATAGCATCATGTCACCATAGTATAGCACCATCTCACCATAGTTTAGCACAATGTTGCCATAGCATAGCACCATGTTATTGCACCATATCTCCAAGTTATAGCACCAAGTCACCATAGTATAGCACCATGTCATCATAATATAGCACCATGTCTCCATAGTATAGCATCATGTCACCATAGTATAGCACCCTGTCT